CTAATTGATCTGTCCTTCAGCTTCCATGCTTTGTCAATTTGAAATACTCCCTTTTCCTTTGTATAACAACCAAATTATTGAAAATGACTTAGCTGATCCATGGCTGAGGAGGTTTGCATTCTAAGTCAATTACCTGATCTGAACAACCAAGAGAGCAGTTTTGTCAAGTTGTATTTATCCCCATATTTTTTAGCATGTCCTTACATGTTCAGCCACAATCTCATGCAAGAAGTATGTCCCTTTGGGATCATGCCATTGGCTTGTTCTAGACTGCTGCACGTGGAGCCCTAGAACACATTGCAGTGGCACACATGGCCAGTGCAGAAACAGCCCCACATGTTCTCAATGATCCAAGCTATTGTAACCACACCAGGCCTGGTCACAGCTTCTCATGCCAGCTGCCTGGAGGAACAGCTGCACTGATGTTGCAATGTTGGGTGTTTGGGGTGTGCTTTACTCCTGTGTCCCTGTGGAGACCTTTGAAGTCCCCTTGGTGACTTTATTTGTATGTACCTGAGTCTCTGATAAAGATTCAGAGAACCAGATTTGCTTCTGGAGGAACATGTGAATATCATCATTTCAAGAGGCGTGACTACCCAGAATAGTAAAGGTTACACAGCTCTGGCTCCCAGGGTCTTAAAAATGGTCTTGCACTATAGGCTTGAAGTTAAGACAGATTCCAGATTGCAAGCTGTTCCTGATAGCAAAGGTAGATTGAGGAATCAAATTACTCTCATTGAGAAAGCTCAGAGCATCGATGCTTAATGGTTTCATCCAAATACAGCATGACATAGCTTTCCTTCTTGATGTTTGCCTAGTTTCAGGACTGTGTTGTTTTGCTATAGAAGCCGAAACAAAGCGCCATGCACTGGAGGCTTAAATAAGAGCAGTGAAGTGTCTCTCAGGTCTGGAGATTGCAAATTCAAGATCAGGATGTGAGCAGGGCTGCTTCCCTCTGAGCACTGTGAGACAGTGTCTGTTCTGAACCTCTCAGCTTACTTCTCGTGGCTCGCCTGGCTTGTAGAAGCATCCCCATGATCACCATCTCTATCTTCTCGTGTTATGCTCCTGTGGTGCTTGTCTGTCTCTGGAAGTCCTCTTATGAGGATGGCAGTCATGGTACACTATAGTAACCCTCTACAACCCTAGCCTTATGTAAATATTTCTGCAGTAGCCCCAAATAAGGTTTTATTGTGTAAGACAGAGGGGTAAGATAATCAATTTTATGGGAGACACAATTCAACCCAGTATCTTTCCTATCAATTAATATTTATTCATTTAATTCCAATTCCTAGTTATGATGATATTACCTACCTAAAAATAGTGGTTTTATATCTGTGGAAGATTATTGCCTAAGAAATACAAGACCATGAACAGCTATAAATATAATAAATTAGAATCCTAAACTTAAAACAAGAAAAAGACTTGGCAAGTACTTTTTTATATAAACTAGTAATTTCAGACTATGGACGACAAAGATGACTCAACTGCTTACAGGGACTGAGGAGATGGCTCAGTGGTTAAGAGCACTAGCTGTTCTTACAGAGGACCCGGGTTCAATTCCCAAGACCCACATGGCAGCTAACAAGCATCTGTAATTCCAGTTCCAGGGGGGATCCAACGCTCTCTTCTGACCTCCCATAGACATTGTACAACACAGGTACACTAACACACATGAAGGCAATACACTCATACACATAAAATAATTTTTTTAAAAAAAACATTGCTTACACAGGGAGAGGATATTTCCTCTCCAAATGGGTAGACTTCAAGCCCTCTACCACAGCTTTAACCAGAGCAGTGCAGATTCTGTGTGTTAGATAGGGGGCTTTATATTAGCGTTCTGCTGAGAGACAGAAACAATCTGATAGGTATTTTGAGAGAAGGAGCTATATTATAAGGAGTTGAGCAATGCAGTTAAGGAAGTAAATAAGTCAAAAATCTGAAGAATAGACTTAACAGTCTGGAGACATAGGAGAACCAAGTTTCTAGTCTGTATTCCAGAGGCCATCTATGGTAGATCCAGGACAGCCAGTGTTACACTCAAAGTCCGAAGGGTACCTGCTGGAGATTTCTGTCTTTCTCAAGGAAGGCAATGTCATTCACAGGATGGAGAGCAAGGTGTGTCACTCAGTATACAAACTTAAATATTGATCTCCCCCAAAACACTCTCACAAGTTACCCAGAGCAGCCCAGCTCAGTAGACTTAAAATTAGCCATCATGGAGTTTGTGTTTATTTGTTTGTTTTTAAAAAAATATCTGCTGCTGATTGAAATAAAGGAAAGTTTGAACACTTCTCCCTTAGGCAACCCTTGATTGGAAGCCTAGGTTAAAGCTCTGTTTTCTTTCAGAAGCTAAGATCTTAAGAACTAGAGATTTGTTTGCATAAGACTTCCTGAAGAATTACCTTAGCTCTTCCTTCTCAGAATTTTTGAGACAATGTATGTGCCTTTAAGACAGGAAGTATATTTTCTGGCTCTCTGTAAATCTCTTAATCAAAGAACTTTAAAAATAAAAAAGATTTATTTTATCTTTAATTGGGAGAGTATGTGCACATGAGGGCCCATGGAGGCCAGAAGAGGGGACTGGAGTTGCAGGCGGCAGTTGTGAGCCAGCAGGACATGGGTCCTGGGAACCAAACTGGAGTTCTCTGCAAGAATAGCACACTTCCTTAACTGCTGAGCCATCTCTCCAGCCCCAAAGAGCTTTAGACCTGGTTTATATTATCAGATTTGGACCAATTCGTGCACTTCCTGTTTTAAACAATAAGAAAGAAGATTTCTTATCTTACCAAGCTTTTGAAATGTTATCTATTCAGTAGTGTATAATTGGAGTAATTCCTAACCTACCTACCTGCTTTGGGGCAAAAAAAGGATTAGAAGCCTTGGATTAGAATCCTGGCCTTCTTTTTCTCCATATAATTCTGAGCAACTTTCATAACTGCTCTGGGCCACAACTTTTTCTATTTTGGGAGGATGTTATTTGCCTGCCGATGAAGGTCACTGTGGTCTTGGTACATTATTTTCTAATTCTAACACACCCAGACCATGAAATCCTAGAAATTCTACCTTCTGACATCTTTAATCTCCAACTCTCCCTGCCTTGACAGGAACTGGTTGACTCAAGGTAATAACTAAGTTTTCCCAGTGACCACATGCTCTTGACCTTGGTCTGATTTCTTCTTTGAGGTAGCCTTCTTGCTCCTGCCTGACTCGCCTTCCTCGCCTTTCTCAAAGGAAACCGAATCACGTTTCCTTCCCTATAACTCCCAGTATGTTTTCTTCTTCTAATAATATGACTAGTGCTTTGCTAGTTAGAGTGCTTCCTGCATGTTCCTTGTTGTAAATGCCGTAGATCATCTCAATGAACCTTAGTTACAAAGAGGTTTATGAGCCAATAGTAGGTCTCCTCATTTTCCAAATGAGGGCTCTGAGGCTTTCAGAGATTAAGAAGGTAGCGTGAGATAATAAGGTCAGGTAGATCACACCCTGATTCAGGTATCTTGATACCAGAGCACACACTCATAACCCCTTCCTTATAATGATGCCGCCCTCAGTGACCCACAGACCCTTCAACAGCTGCCCCTGATTACTCCACAGTATTGTGCACATATTCACAAATCTGCTCCTTATCCCTCAGAGGCATCCATGTTGGCCTACTTCACCCCCATATCCTAAATACTGTATCCAATGAATATGGTACCTCAGTCTTAGCAGGCTCCCAAGTATTAGTCTGCTAAGTAAATGAAAGGACTCTATAAAGCACTTTGTTAACTATCCCAAATTGTAATGGCTAGTTTTAATTGTCAGCTTAATACAATCTAGAATCACCTGAGAAGGGAATTTTAAGATTGTCTATATTAGATTGACCTGTGGGCATGACTGTGAGGGATAATCTTGGATTTCATTAATTGAGGTGGAAAGACCCACCCACTGTTGAGTAGCACCATTCTCTAGACAGGGAACCCAGAACTATATAAAGCAGAGAAAGCTAGCCAAGCGCAAGCATGCGTGCATTAATTCATTGCTCTGTGCTCTTGCCTGTGGATATGATATGACTGTCTGCTTCAAGTTCCTACTGCCTTGACATCCCTTCAGTGACAGACTGTAACCGAGTTATGAGCTCAAATAAACCTGTTTTCACCTAAGTTGTTTTTGTTAGGGCATTTTATGACAACAACAGAAATAAACTAGGATACTTGTCCATACGAATGTCAAGATTTAATGGTATTATGATGTTTTAGATAAATAAATACACTGAAATTCTCCAGTTGACTAATTTCACGTTTCTTGGCACTATTAATATTTTGGCTCAGGTGATTCATCATCAGGTGCCATCCTGGACATCTTAGGATGCTTATCAACGTCCCTAGCTTTTGCTCACTAGAAAGAAGCCAGTATCACAGCCCAACATGTACAACCAAGAACATCTCCAAACACTGGCAAATGTTCCCTGAGAAGAAAAACTCCTTGAGAACCATTACCTAATTCTAATAGCAACTTTTTATTGACTGAACTTCTCCATGATTCCTTTAGTTTTTCTAGTACTCAGGAACTAGAATAGGGCTGGACACTAATTTTTTATGTAAGAAGTGATGTATTAAAAGTACCCATGTATAGTTAAATGTAATATGATACCTTGGAATGCATGAGACAGAAACAGGATGGTAATGGAAAACTGATGAAATTTGAAGTAGGTCTGTAGTTTAGTCAGTAGCATTGAACCAATATTGGTTTCTTAGTTTTGATAAATGTATATAGATTAAGTTAAGATGTTAATGTCAGGAGTGGCTCATGAAGTTTCTATGGAAACTCTGTTATCTTTGCAACTTTTCAGGAAATCTGAACTTAAATTTTTTTAAAATCTATTTGTATGATTATTAAGCAAAAATTAAGGTAGCCCCATTTTCAGACACAAGCAAAAGCAGAAAATTATATATTCTTTCTTAGACCACAAAGAAAATTTAATAAGGTCAACGATCTTGTCTTGCTTTTTGCAGGCTCTCAATTCACATGGACGATGAACTGCGACACATTGCACAGAATTCTCTTCAGGGGTTACTTGTCGACTTCTCGGACTGGAGAGAAGATGTACTATTTGGCTTCACTAACTTCTTGCTCCGGGAAGTGAATGACATGCATCATACCCTCCTCGATTCCTCCCTCAAGTTGCTTCTGCAGCTACTAACCCAGTGGAAACTGGTCATTCAAACACAAGGGAGAGTCTACGAACAAGCCAACAAAATCAGAAACTCAGAGGTGATTTTCCCAGGCTTCCCACCACTGTACATTCTTTTATATACTGCACACATGAAAAAATGGCAGCCCAGGGAACCTTTGGCGTTCTTCCTTCCCACTTCCTGGAAGCTGTACCTAGTACTGGCCCTTAGTTCTTCCACTGACCGCCCTGTAACAGAGAAACTCTGGATGAGATATGCCATCAACTACACAGCCATATGAGGAGCAGACATTGTTTGTTTTCTCAGAGAATTATGATTACACATTTGTTTGTAAAGACAAGACAGACAGCTTGTATTATGGCTTAGGTCGTTCATCATCAAGATGAGCTGGATGAAAACAAGACGGCTAGAACGACACAAGGTTGTGGATATAGATTCAGATGTGAATAAATACAAAAGTTGGCTGTCCACTAGGTTTTTTTTTTCCTAATTAGCATGATAGTTGTTGCTTCACCCAGTAGCTACAGAGATGAAAGTGCTGACTTGTGGTTTCTCAGTCATGCATGGTAAAAATTAATGCCAGCAGGTTCTCACTGCCAAGTGGTGAGCTGGCATTGGCAACGCAGATAGTGCTGGTTCTGGTTGGGCAGGAGCATCATTGAGGCTCCAGGGACTGGAGACTCAGGGCAGGACAGCAGTATCCAGGGAACAGTGAGGGTCACCCCCAAGGTGACATTCAGGTCCCCTGTGTGCTTCCCATGTGAACAGATGATTGTTAGAAAGACAAAAGTTCCATATAATTGGAAAAGGGAAACCAAGGTAAAGTCTACCATAGCATTTAGTTGCTTTTGCTTTAGGTTCATGTGATTGCAGTTTGGGAACTTTCAGAACCTGTCATATAAGCATACAAAATTTAGATTAGAATCTAACATTAAAAAAATAAAATGGGTATGATGGCTTACATCTAACTCTTGGGAAGCTGAGGCAGGAGGATTGTGAGTTTCAACCTGGGCTACATAGTGAGACCCTGTCTCAAAAAAAAACCCACAAATCCCTCTAAATCCTCTTTTAAAAAACTATCTTTGGGCTTGAGATATCACTCGGTGATAGAGTACTTGCCTAGCATTTATAATGCCCTGAGTTCAATAGTCCCATTATGTATATTCTCTCTCTCTCTCTCTCTCTCTCTCTCTCTCTCTCTCTCTCGCCATATATATATGAGTATTCAATTCCCAATACTATATATATATGTATATCTCAGTATTCAATTCCCAATACTATATATATAGTTGATAAATATATTCCTAGTATACTTACATCTATTTTTTTTTTTTTTTTTGAGATAGGGTCTCCCTATAGCCCAAGCTCACCTTGAACTTTCTATGTAGACCAGGCTGACCTTGATCTCACAGGGATCTTTCTGCCTCTGTCTTCCAAGTGTATACCCAACTCTCTCTCTCTCTTTAAAACTCCAACTTGAGAGTATCTTTTATCTATAGAAAATGCAAGTGAAAACAAACTAGACCATTTTGATTATATTCAGTGTAATCCCAAATGGTGTGGACAGAAGCAGTTTTGTTTCATTACTATGAACAACCTTTAGAGAGTCATTTCTTGTCAGAGATAACAGATGGTTGATGTTATTCAAAGCAACAGTGGATCTGGAAAGCAAAAAGGGAACCAAGATATTCATGAATAATAATCCGTGCACACTGTCCCTAAACCATTACAAATTGCTTTAATAGTAGTCAAATGTGCAAGAAAATGTACATCTTTTTCTTCCCTTGTTATTTTGCTAAGCCTAGAATGTTGTTCTTCTGCCCTAACAGCTCATTCCCAATGGCCCCAGCCACAGAGTGCAGTCAGAACGAGGCCCACACTGCAGCGTCCTCCACGCTGTTGAAGGCTTTGCTCTGGTTCTGCTCTGCAGCTTCCAGGTAGCCACGCGCAAACTGTCGGTGTTGATACTCAAGGAAATTCGAGCTCTGTTCATCGCCCTGGGTCAGCCAGAGGTATGGAGCAGTCTGATGACATTGCCTATTCATTTCTTCTTTCAACAGCTTTGAAATTTGGATTAAAAATTATGAATAATATATTAGTACTCTGTGTGTGTGTGTGTGTGACATGTGACAAGACAACTTAATTGTTGATACACAAGTTTTAATTATGTGATGTCACTTTGTCTTCTTAGACAAGTTTTCACTATGTAGCTCTGGCTAGCCTGAGATTCATTATGTAGACCAGGCTGGCCTTGAACTTAGAGACCTGCCTGTCTCTACCTCTTAAATTCTTGAATTAAAGATTTGCCACCACCATGCCCAACCTGTAATAGCATTCTTTGTGTTTTAAAGATGTAAATCGTTTTTTTAAGATTATTTATTTTTACTTTATGTGTATGTTTGCCTGCCTTTGTGTATGTATATCACACGTGTGTGAGTGCCCACAGAGGCCAGTAGAGGGCATCAGATCCCCTAGAACTGGAGTTGCCAAAGGTGGCCAGCTGCCGTGTGGGTGCTGGAAACCAAATCTGGGTCCTCTGCAAGAGCAGCCAATGCTCTTAACCACTGAGCCATCTCTCTAACCTCCTGTAATAACATTCTTTTTAAAAAGATTTATTTTTCTTATTTTTAAATACGTGTGTGTGTGTGTGAGTGTGTGTGTGTGTGTGTGTGTGTGTGTGTGTGTGTGTGTATGTATGCATTTATGAATTTGAGATGAGTGCAGGTGCCTGCAGAGGCCAGAGGAATTGGATCCCCCTGGTACTGGAGTTGCAAGTGAGTGTGAGCCAACTGATTTGGGTGCTGAAAATCAAGCTTAGGTCCTCTGAAGAGTAGTATGTGCTTTTAACTGTTAAACCATCTTTCCACTTCCTGTAATAGCATTCTTAATCTACTAGAGGCAAATCATATATTCTGATAGCAGCAGAAAAGACTATTCTTGGTTTACTAAAGTATCCTACTTTGCTAAAAATTTTAAGATTAATAGTCTATGAGTCATTTTTCTCGGTGTCCAGTATACATCTAATTAAGAAGATACTATATATTACAGAATAAGCTGGGAAAATAATACATCTTGTTTAAAATTATCATGGTGCCAAACCAAATAGTCTGGCTAACTGAAAGCTGTTTAATTTCCATGATGATGGAAAAATGGCACAGTAAGAAGCACGTCCTCTTGTGATAGGAGGAGGAAGAGCTGTGTGGTTCATGGATAGAACAGAGTGTGTGGTCAGTCTCCAGTGTGTTTTCTTGGAGACAAAAATTCAATCACAGTCCACATTATCAGTTACTCTAGTAGGCCAGTGACCTAAAATAAGGAGTGTTTTAGTGATCTGGCAAGGCATGTTCTTACAGGGTTTCCATTCTTTAAGCTTATCAACAACATAAACACTTCTGTAACTAATATATGATACTGGTATTTAGATTCTTGTGGACATGTGAGTCTTTGAAATTCAGGTATGTGTCTTTTCAGAACCATGTGAAATTGGAGCCTTAATTATCTTGCACATAAACTTGAAAGCCTAACTTCAGAACTACAGAGAGTTCTATTCATTGCCTCTGCATCTTGGCACTCACATCTCTGAGAAAACCTTTATCGCTATCTGGCAAGCTGTTCTGCTCCATGTCCTAAGATGAAGGCTGTGGGGTGGGTGGGAAAGACTCATTTTCCCATGGAGAGTAATCACCTCTTCTTTGTACAGGATGATGACAGGCCAATGATTGATGTCATGGATCAACTAAGTTCTTCCATTCTTGAAAGTTTCATTCATGTAGCAGTTTCAGATTCGGTAAGTAAACATTTGATCCTGCTTGCTAGCAGCTCTTAGAAAGAAAGTCTGGAACAATTTTAAAAGAGAATCAAATAAAAATTATGGACATGAATTTGAGGTTTTCATGTCAGATTAATAAATTGATGTAAATATACCTAGAAAAAGCAAGAGTAGCTTTTCAAATTATAGCATAGGGCACATTTGGATAGATTCCAAACAAAATTTGAGGCTTAAAAGTGCAGATATTTTAGAGAAAGGGAGGCGGGTCAAGCACCCACCTCTCACTGTTCTTTACTTGATTGCCCCATTGTAGTTTCATAAACATGAAATACTTGAAGTTACTTAAACATGCTACTCAAATTGAAATTCTCACTAGTTTAAATTTACAAAGCTCCTTTCAAACTTTAACTTTCAGAAAGTATCTCACAGTTTAACATTGCATAGATATTCAAGTTACCTATTTGTTCAACTAAGAGGAGGCAATAAGATGCACTGTAAAGTATATTAACATCAGTTATAGAAAATGATATTGATTTCAAGTACCACAAACAAGCCTTTCGATGTAAAGGAGCATTTTGTATGATCCGTTTTTTAGGTTTTTAGTTGTTTTGAAGACATTTTCATTGTTGTCATTTATCACTTTATACCTGCAGTTCTTAACACTATAGCATTTTAAAAATCTTTGTTTGAGCCCCACTCTAGAGAGGTGTCACTTAATTACTTGAAGATGGGCTTTACATGTGTATTAATTACTTGAAGGTGGGCTTTACGTGTATATTTTTTTAAAGTACCAGTCCTTGTGCTCCATCCCACTACTGAGCAAACCAGTTGAGAAGCACTAGACTAACAGCTTTCCCATTTAAAGAAGAAAACTGGCTTGAGTAGAAGCAATGCCTGTTAGTTTTATCCTTATTTTACTGTTATTGGCTTTGTCGCAACAAGTTATTGTGTTGCTTTAATCCCAGCATTCCGGAGGCAGAGGCAGGTGGCTCTTTGTGAGTTCGAGGCCAGCCTGGTCTACATAGTGAGTTTCAGGACCACTGGGGCTACAGAAAGACCCTGTCTCAAAAAGACAAAACACAAAACAAAAATAAAGTACAAATTTAAAAAAAAAAAAAAAGACATATAGTTAGCTTTTAAAACTTCGATCCCACCTGGGCGTGGTGGTGTACACCTTTAATCCCAGAGCTCAGGAGGCAGAGGTAGGTGGACCTCTGTGAGTTCAAGACCAGCGTGGTCTACATAGTGAGTTCCAAGCCAGTTGGGGCTACAGGAAGACCCTGTCTCAAAAAGATTTAAAAAAAAAAAGCTTCAAACGAGAAATATTTCTCTGGATTTTTAAATAAAATCAGTTTGCCTTAATTAGTGCATTTGATACTTGATCTGTGTTTAATTTTATAGCTTAACATTTCACATTTCAACATTCTCAATATGGAAATTCTATATATGTGTTACTTTTTAAAAAATATTTTATTGTTATTTTTATTTTTATGTGTATGAGTGTATTGCCTGCGTGTATGTCGCTCCCATGTCATGCAATGCTGCAGAGGTCAGAAGAGGGCGTTAGAGATCATATGGTAAGGTTATTTTTAATTTTTAATTTCTTATTTTTATTTTATTTGTATGAGAATATTGCCTGAATGTATGTGAGTGTACCTGTGTTGTGCAATGCTGTGGAGGTCAGAAGAGGGCGTTAGATTCCCCTGGAACTGGAGTTAAGGACGGTTTGTAGCTGCCATGTGGGTGCTGGGACTCGATCCCAGGTCCTCTGCAAGAGCAATCAGTGCTCTTAACCGCTAAGCCATTTCTCCAGCCCCTATATATGTGTTACTTTATAGTTTGCAAGATGTTTTCATGTTTGTTGTTTCATTTGACCCTGACATTAAGTGGGAAAGGGCTAGGTTGTAGCTCAGTGTTTGGCATGCATAAGGCCTTGAGTTCTACCCCCAGCACCAAACAAACAAAAAGAATGTTAAGCAGAAAGTCTCACAGTCATACCAAAGAGAATTAGAGTCCACACTTACCTTGGTTTACACTCACAGTCTAGTAGAGCTTTATCTGTTATGCAAATACCTTCTTCAGTTTAAAAAGCATTTTGGCAGCTTTCAGCTTCCTGAGTAAGCAGAAGGGAAATCAAAGCTGATTTAGTTATCCTTTAGAAAAGTAAAAGTACAGTAGCAATCCTGGATTCATGTTTGCTGAAGAGCTGGAGGGAGGCAGGGAATGCTGGAGTGACTGATGCCCAACTCAGAAGCCTGTCAAATATATAAAAGAATGCAAGCTTTCCATAGCCTCTTCTGACACTGAACACAAAGCCCTATTTTTGGCAATAATGATCATGATAAGTACTCGAACTGTTAGCCCAGCACTGCAGACCTAACTGTGAGAGCAAAGCAGCACAGCTTCTTTTTGTCCAGTCGTTTTAACATGATATGAAAGAGTCACTTTAGTTCCTTTACATGTGTATCTTACTTTCCTGTGGATAGGTATTATATTCCTGTGATTTTGTTCTGTATCTACCAGAATCAAAAACTCTTGCATTCCAATTCCCAAGTTATCAATGATGGAGGCAGAGAGTCGACTCGGTGATTTTTCCCAGGACACAGGCTTTGGGCAGAATACTTGTTGGGATCTCATATTTCAGGCTCTGAAACTCCAGTTTTGCCCTTTCCACTCCATGAACTGTGAAGGCCAGCTGTGTAGTATGCTGCCCGTGGGAGTTCATAAACCCAGCAGATAAAGTCTATCACCTTCAATGCCCAACACACAAAAAGGCAGTTTCTTGTCTTGAAACAAAAGTTAGATTATTTGAAAATTGGTATTGCCTAAACATTGATTTAAGTACTTAAAAGAGAATTAAATGTAATAACCTACCAATATGTACATATACCTATATTGTGAGAGGTTTTCAAATATATTTGCTTGATATCATAGGGCAAGATTAAGTAGATATCTCATCTCAAAAATCACCAGTAGAATACCCTTCATAAAAGAGACTGTACTTAGCTGTTTCTCCATATCACAGGGAAGGAAGTTTGGCCTAAGTAAAGATAAAGAAAAATAATACACACACATGCACACACACATTGCAGGATAAAAACACATTTATGAATCCACACATGAGTAATCCTTAAAGATTTAAAAATTCTAAGTCTATGGCCAAGTTTAAATGTTTTGTCAAACAAATATTTAATGAATATCTTCTATGTACCGATACACAGTGCTGCATGATGTTAAAATTGTCAAAAATATGACTCTGCACATTGAATTCTGCACTTAAGACTGCTTACAGCTGGCAGAGAAACACAGCTGACTGCATACCAGTGTTGTATGGGGCCAGGTGTAGGATGGGCATTGCAAATCGAAAGCTGGCCCACTGCAGTGGCCATGAAAGGCACTGTAGAAACAGGAGCAGTAGTCTGAACCCTGGTGAATCATGTCAGTTCATCTTTGATTTATTGCCTGTTTCTTTGCCTATAGGCAACATTACCACTAACACACAATGTGGATCTGCAGTGGCTAGTGGATTGGAACGCAGTCCTGGTCAATAGCCACTATGATGTGAAGAGCCCTTCCCACGTCTGGATCTTTGCACAGTCTGTCAAAGACCCCTGGGTCCTCTGCCTCTTCAGCTTCCTCCGCCAGGAGAACCTGCCCAAGCACTGTCCCACGGCCCTTAGCTACGCCTGGCCTTATGCATTCACCCGGCTCCAGTCCGTGATGCCGCTGGTAGACCCAAAGTAAGGCATCTGTGTGTTTTCCTGGCTTCATTCTTGGTTCTCTTAAATTTTCATTTTATGTAAAATATTGTAATAACATAGTCCTCTCTTAAGGTTTTAATCTGCTACAGAATTCTTAAGTAGAGATATAGAAAAGTTTTGAACAGAGCAAGAGTTGGTTTGTTTGGCCTTAATAAAATATGGCTGCCTAAGTACACTAATACAGAAGCTGACTCCTAGTAAAAAGAGACCTTAAAGCTCTTCTGTTTATCCTAGATGGACAGCTGCCTAACTCTCTAACCCCTAATCATCTTTATTTAACAAGTGATATTTAAAGCCTGACACAGTGGCGTATGCCTAGAATCCCAGCACGTAGGAGACTGAAATGGGAGGACTGCCAAAAATTCAAGGCCAGCCTGGTCTATATAGCAAGACCCTATCTCAAACATATCTCCCAAAATTGATATTTAAAATGAAGAATTTAGTTTGAGTTTTGTTTTTGCCTCTGTATCTCCAGCAGCCCGATTAATGCCAAGAAAGCCAGCACGTCAGGCAGTGGAGACAACTATGTTACCTTGTGGAGAAATTACCTCATTCTGTGCTTTGGAGTTGCCAAACCCAGTATTATGAGCCCAGGACACTTACGAGCTTCCACTCCAGAAATAATGGCAACAACACCCGATGGTACAGTGAGCTACGATAACAAGGTGACATGACATGTTTCAGAGAACTATTCTGTAAGGTTTTTTTTTTTTAGCTTGTTTGTCTAGAGTTCCCAGTGCAAATTGTTTGCACTGAGCCTGCCATCTGGAGTTTTGGTGGAATCAGATTTTCATCCTACACATTTCTAAATTCCATTGAGCATCTCTGTGACTAATTATTATTCCTCCCTAGCAATGTGGAAGCAAAGATAAAGAGATTAAGAGTGACTTGCCTTTATGCTTTGAAGCTGGGCTTCTCTCCTACAATGGTGCATCTCTTTTTCTCTTGGCCAACCTTAATTCAATTATTTTGTTAAAGATAGTTTTCGTGGCTTAAATGATTATTATTTTTTTTTGAAGAAGAAGAAGACTGCTTTTTCCTTAGAATTGTGTCAAATACTGAAATTATTCTATGTTAAATATGTGGGGCTTGTTTTTTTTCCCCCTGGAATGATAGCAGGGCCTTGGGATGTGACTTAGTTCTTTGGACGTATTCTAATGTAATCATCATGTGATTAAAGGACCCTCAGTTACCATGTTACCTCTGTTTCATTTTTATTCAGGCCATAGGCACGCCCTCAGTGGGAGTTCTGCTGAAGCAGCTGGTGCCTTTGATGAGGCTGGAGAGCATTGAGATCACAGAGTCCCTAGTCTTAGGATTTGGAAGAACGAATTCCCTTGTTTTCAGGTACAGTGGCCTCAGTAAGTTCTTCCGGGTCATACGTACTGCTGCTGATATAGTTACGCAGGAGAAGGGTCGGCAGGTGCCTGGAGTGCTGATGGGCTGTGTGATGTCCTGTGGGCCTTTGGTTGGCACATGGGTAACTAGCATTCCTTGTAGCTTCATGTCTCGCCATTGCAGCTCTGCTTTTACCTCACAGGTTATATTTCACTTGCAAGCTTTGTCTTAGATACTATAAATGAAGATAATTCCCACTGATCCCCAGTTAGCCAGACTTTTCAGAGGCTGTAATATCAAAATGAGGGCAGTGTGTGATCCCCAGCCTTTCCCACAGCAGACTCAAAGATGACACATGAATTGAACCCTTCAGGTGGGTTCATAAGATCCATCTCTCTAAAAGACATATCCTGTGCCTGAGTAGAATGGCTTTCTGGTTTTACAATCAACTATCTGAGACAATATCAAAACCCTCTGAAAAAGTGTCATAAATACTAATTCACACAGCTTCTGATGACATTAACTAAGATACAATAGCTTATATGGACAAAAGTAATGTTTATTAAGCAAAAACTTCCATGTAGATAGAAGAGGAAACCCCAACATCTTACCCTTAATAGATTATTAGAATTTTAGGTTCTCTGTACTTACCAGTTAACCTGAATTTTGCTAATTATTAATTAGTTAGTTAAGACTAATGGGGCAGAGGACCTGGGTTTGATTCCCAGCATCTACATGGCAGCTAGCAACCACCTGTAACTTCAATTCCAGATACTCTGACCCTCTCTTCAGACCTCTGAGGGCATTGCACGACATGAGTGCACTTACCTACATGCAGGCAATACACTCGTACACATAAAATAAAAATAATAAAAAGACTAAACATCATATAGATCTGTCATTCAAAGATAACATTTCCTGAAATTAGCCAACATTCTTTCCCAAAGAATGGAAGTCTCTTTTGCATAGCTTGCCCTCTCTGTGTTCCTGAAGATAGGTCAACCAACCATAGCACTCAGAAAAAAGTCTGTCTGCCTCAGTTTCTACAACTACAAAATTAGTTAAACAAAATGAACTATCTCTCTAATAAAACAATTTGATGTCACAAAATCCACCTCATAGACTCAGTGAGAGGCTATATTAAATGAGTATATTCATAGAATGTAGACCTTCCTGCCCCTGGGTTTGCCTGGAGGGTGACACTTACTAGCGCAGATGTATTACCAGCAAGTACACAGCTTCAAATTTGTTTAGCCCCAAGCTGGAGTTCAGCATGTTGCCTGTTCTAACAAAGCAGTTCAGAAATGATTTCCTAAAGAAGACAGGTGATTAGATTAGCAAGTATAAATGAGAATCAGGATGGCAGGGCAGGTGATAAATATATATACTTCATATATACACAAATACAATAAAATATATACCAATATGACCAAAACATCATTATAGGAAAACAAGTTTCAATGAAAACCTCACTATTGGGGCTGGAGTGATGGCTCAGCGGTTAAAAGCAGTGGCTGCTCTTGCAGCAGACCTGGATTCTGTTCTTAGCACCCACATGGTGGCTAACAACCGTTTGTAACTCCAGTTCCAGAAGATCTGACACCCTCTTCTAGCCTCCATAGGCACTGCATGCATATAATGCACTTTTATACATGTAGGCAAAACACTCATACACATAAAATAAACAAATAACATTTAGAAAGAAAACCTCAATATTTTATTCCTAGTTATAATTTGTATTTATCATATAACACAAATCAAAGTTTAGTTCTAAAATGCAAAGCCTTCATTTTTAAATCAATTGTGTATCAGTTTCCTGAGCACAGATCCCCAAAATAGTTCAGTATTATACCCATCTCTTTCCTTCTACAATTTTTTGGGTACAGAGACTCCATTTTTATTTATTTTTAATTTCATAGCTTGTAATGAAGTTCTCAATTTAATAAGCACTTGGAGAATACTGTTTACTTGTTCAGATTACAGTGTTCTGCTAGTGAAATCCCCAGACCACTAAATCAGAATTAAGACGACAAGTATACTTTGAGCTAAATATGTATGCACAGTGCTGGGATGAAGACCAATGATGTCTGTGTAGGGCAGCACCTGTCCCTAGCTCAGTCCATGATTTGGAAATAGATATGTCAGGGGACATGTTGATAGTAGCCAAGTAAATAATACCAAGTTATTTATGATCAAATGGATCAAGGTTTATGTCAATAGCAATGAATTTCAAATGTGATCTTTTTCCTCCATAGAGAACTGGTTGAAGAACTTCATCCATTAATGAAAGAAGCTCTCGAAAGAAGACCAGAGGTAAGATGTAGAATTTAAATCATTACGTTTTGACTTATTTGAACCGTGTATGAACTTTAAGTGAGCTTGGTAATCCCCTAAAAAAATACAAACACCTAACATGCTTTAACAGTGAAACTTACTTTGTATTTTAGTGCCAGTGCCAGCCAGCCAAGACGAACAGCACCTGAAAGGGGGAGTGAGGATGAAAGACAAACAAGAAAAAAAGATCCTTGGGAGGACTGCAGTAGAGACTGCAGCCCGGGTTTATTTTAGCTCAGCCTTTTTATACAGAAGAACATCAGATAGCCACCATTTGCTTAGCTGAGTTGGCTCCAACAACTCCTTTTTCCCACCTCCTCCTGAGAGTAAAGGAACAGTCAAATACTTGTGAATTCAACCATTTACCTGTCCTCCCTAGAATATCAACGCGTTCTTCCTGACTTGGCAGAACAATTCGATACTTGTGTGCAAAACACACAAACTCTAGAGTGAAGGCAACCTGCCACAGCTCAGTGCACACAATGGCTGTGCTTAAAATAATAGCTCCCAACATTTTAGCTTTTGTCATGTTTAAGTATTTTAATGTTTAATATAATATAGTTCCTATTTTAAAGGATTTTCTTCCCTAAACATACAAATGCAAATCAACTTAAATAGTCCCACATATGTGCTTCCATTCTTTTGTAAAAGGTTTGAGTTAAAATTTAATTTTGGATTTTAGTTTGCTTGGTGGTGTTGCTGTTCTTAACAAACCAGGAGTCAATGGCCCAGAATACCATTTGTCTCATTTAGCATATGATACATCCCTCAATAGTATTTCCCCTCACATGAACCCTTTCCAGAATCACTTAGAATATACCAAAATTGAAAAACAATAAGATTGAAACAGAAGCTCCCCATGTAATAGATACGTTACAAGAAAGAGCAGAAATTCAGCAGTTTGAAGAACAACTTGTGTCCCCTAAATAAACAGACTCCATGGGATTATCCAAGACACCTGTCCTTTTCCGTTCCCTTTGGATGCTCAGCCTCTCAGCAGACACTGGGATGAATAGGAATGTGGCTTGCCACTTCTCATTATTTACACCTTATATATTTTTATTGACCTATTTACAGTGTTTTCCTGATAGCCTGTACTGGCAGGCACTATGTAGAAAATTGAAGGTCCTAAACGATGCCCCCTTTTGATACAATTTCCTGAAGTTCACACTGTGTCACCTCTTTCCTCAGAACAAGAAGCGCCGAGAGCGAAGAGACTTGCTAAGGCTTCAACTACTTCGGATATTTGAACTTCTGGCAGATGCTGGGGTGATAAGTGACAGGTAGGTTCAAATCTCCAGTGAAGTGACCCCTGGCCCCTCCCAAAGTGATCTCTCCTCTTTTTCCACTTCTTTCTCTTTTTTCCTTTTAAATGTATTAACTCAACGAAGTTTTTTTAAGCTTACCTTTTCCTTTATTCAGCACAAATGGAGCCTTAGAACGGGATACCTTAGCCCTCGGAGCTTTGTTCTTAGAATACGTGGACTTGACCCGCATGCTCTTAGAAGCTGAAAACGACAAAGAAGTTGAAATTCTTAAAGACATTCGAGCGCATTTCAGTGCCATGGTCGCCAACTTGATTCAGTGCGTTCCAGGTATGGTAGTCCATCACCTCAAGTTGCCTCGGGCTTAGAAAAGCATTTGTGTTCCTTGTGACCATACTTCCCTCTTGATTCCTAGTGGCCTGAATATGGACTAGGGTATGATCCTTATTTATTTTGAGAAACTTGGAAATACACATGAGAGCAGGTCATCTTAGCACGGAGTCATAAAGGGAATAGTCAGGATTGAATTTAGTCATTTCTGTCTCAGTTTTGATTCCTATCTGAAAATGAGCTTACGTATTTCCATAGGAAGGAGGTAGGAGACGTTCATACAAGCTTCGTTTTCCCCGTCACTGCTGTGCTGATTAGTACATGCATAATTTCAGCCGAATTCCTGCTGTCTTACTTCACTCAATCAATATGCTAGTTAGAGTTCTGTAGCACTTAATACATTTCACATTTGATTAACTGTTAAATTATATGGAGGAATATCTTTCACAGGACAAATGAATATGAAACATTTTCATTCTGACAGAAGCGTACAAAACTGGTTTGGTATAAAACTATAAAGAACTATGAGTCAACTAATGCTTCAAATGTCTCAGTATGTTGATGTTATTAAACCTTACCAGGCCACCTCATCTGTGATGACCTTTACTAAGTGTTAAGTTGACTCCTTCCATTAAAGCAAAGTACATGTATTTCAAGTAGACAGTGCATATATTCTATATTCCAAAGATCTCCCTAGCAATGGGCAGCAGCAGTCAAAGTTTGTTCTGTGTACACAAAAGCTGAATGGGATGGATCAGTATGAATGTCTGCAGGTCTGTGTCAGTCTTTCCTTCTCACTGTGAGTTAGGGTACTGTAGGCTGCAACAGGAAGCAAGGAAGGGTATACACATGGAAAGGAAATCATGTTGAAATATATTTAAGGAGTCAGATTTCTATAACTAAAGAAAACTGGAGTTAGGGGCAGGGTGTAGGTCAGGGGTAGAGTGCTTGCTTAGCTTGCATGAAACCTCATGTTCTATTAATAGCACCAAGCAAAGAAATGAAATTGTTCCTTTTCCTACAACCTGAGAATCATGTTTGGTAGTGTTAAGGCTGTATGCAGTCTAATAGATACTGACTCTGTTGTTCTCTCTAGTTCACCATAGAAGATTTCTCTTCCCTCAGCAAAGCCTGAGGCACCACCTCTTCATCTTGTTTAGCCAGTGGGCAGGACCCTTCAGCATCATGTTTACTCCTTTGGACCGTTACAGTGACAGAAATCATCAGATAACCAGATACCAGTATTGTGCATTAAAAGTTGGTAACATTTTCTTCACTAGTTTATGAAATTGATGGGTCTCCTTCCTTAAACTAACAACCATGCCTTAAAAATAAAATTTAAGTAACATGATGTGATTGAGTGCAGATACAGAACTTCAAATAGATGTGTGTAGACATATAAATACATAAGTCCAAAAAATCCAAACCCATAAACATGGATCCACAGATATGCAAACAATGTAAAAATATATGGGCATTCCATGTGGGCTCACAATTTTAAAATGCAAAACTTTTTCAAGCTCCCATTTCTTTTTGAATCCAGTGTTTTGCCTGTGTGAGAATCATATAGTTTTGCTTATTTCTCAAGTTGTTGCCTTGCCAATTAATTTATAACCAAAAAAGCAGCGGGGGGCGGGGTGGGGAATCAACCAATAGCCACATCCCTTTTTAGCCTCATAGCCTAGACTTCCACACTATGAAGACAGTTCAAAATCTGCAACAGCATGGACCTTGTATTAGTTACTTTCCTGCTGCTGTAAGAAACATGGCCTTTAAAAGCAACTTTTAAAAGCAAAAGTTTATTTTAGCCTATGGTTCCAGAGGACTAGATCATCATGGCACAGCAGGCATGCCATGCCAACAGGAACATGATGTTGGCTGATCACATCATCCACATACAGGAAACAAAGAGTACAAGCAGAGGGGAAGCTATAAACCCTCAAAGTGATGTACTTCCTGTAGCAAGGCTGCACTTCCTAAAGATTCCATGACCTCCCCAAACAGCACCACTAACTAGGGACCAAGTGTTCAAGTACATGAGCCTGTGGGAGCATTTCTCATTCAAACCACCATAGTCTTACTGCCTAATGTCCTTTAGAGAAGTAACTATATCAACCATTGTATACACCATAAGTTGCTGATTCATGTTTGCATATAATTCAGTGGGATCAATTTAAATGGTTGCCTTGAGAGTTACTTACCCCTGCCAAGGACAATTTAGTCAAAATCTCCTTTCTCTTACCCTCTCCCCATTTCCCCTCCCCTCCCCTTAAAGGAAGTCAGATTCATATTCTTAAATTACTTTTGATCAAATATCATAATTATTCATTTCCATGCTTCATAATTTTCAGTTTAGTACCACAGTCAAATATTTGTCATAAAAACAAAATTTATCTTATAAGAATAATTCATTTCCCTTAAAGTAATTGAAAGGAACTTTATTTGAAATATTGTATAATGGACACTTTGTTTTAAATATTCTCTCTTTATAAACATTTGCTATAATCATAAAATTATATAGCCATGAAACTAAGTTTATAGGTTTTTAACTTTTATTTTTAAAATTGGAATCTAGTGGAGGGGTTTCTACTGAATTTGCTAAGGAATGCTTTAAAAATCTTGGAGTAATTGTTTCTAAAGAGCTACCATCAAGCTAAGCATGGTGGTAGATGCCTATGATCCCAGCATTCAGGATGCTGAGGCAGGAGGAATGTGAGTTTAAGACTAGTCTGACCAAAAGCAACTTTTGGTCAGACTAGCATAGCAAGACTAACCATAGTAAGACTCTGTCTCTAAAGTAAAATACAGAAGGCAACCAGATTTGGGATTGTGTTTTCTAAAGTCAGCCAGAAGCCATTCCTTCATTCCAGTTTCATCTCCAGCTTCTGTCTCCATGTGCCACTGTTTCTATTTCAGGCCATGTCAGCAGTGTTATGTTGTGGTCCTGTGTTCGACAATGTGGGCCTTTCTCCAGATGGCTATCTATATAAGTGGCTTGACAATATTCTGGCTTGTCAAGATTTACGAGTAAGTAGTAGTCATCAAAAATATATTGTTTGCTAATGTTTTTGAGGTTCCTCATTGGTTGAGTTTCTGAAATGCGTAAACATCATCCACAGTACCATGTGTTCCACAACACCTCCATGGGTGCACATATATATTTAGGCACACTACACTATGATGTTCCAGGCTCAAAAATACAGTAACATTTACCCAATTTGACTGTAAACTGGGTCATAAAGTAGTTCTCAACATCTCACATAATTTAAATTCTGACTGTGTGCTTATTACTAGCATTAAGCTAGTAATAGAAACTGGGAAATATTTTGAAGTAAAACATAATGAAAATATTAAATTGGTGGTCTGTATTAAAAACTGTGCTTTAAGGACTGGAGAGATGGCTCAGTAGTTAAGAGTACTGACTGCTCTTGCAGAGGACCTGGGTTCGATTCCCAGCAACCACATGGTGGCTACGAACTGTCCTTAACTCCAGTTCCAGGGGAACCCAAAGCCCTCTTCTGAGCTCTGAGGCATTGCACAACATGGGCGCACTCACATAAATACAGGCAATACACTCATACACATAAAAATAATAAATAAAAATTTAAAAACTGTGCTTTAAATGAAATGTATAAACCAAGATGTTTATATTGAAACAAAAAAAGTCTAATAATCTGTGACCTATTGACCATAAGAAGTAAGTATAAGAATAGCACATCAAACTCAGGAAAAGTACAACAGAAATAGAGGTCAGAGCAGAAATTAACAAATGGCAAAATTCAATGGTAATGAACCATTATATTAGTTACTTTTGCATTGCTATGACAAAACACGTAACAGAACAATTTAAGGGGGGAAAAATATTGAGGCTCCTGATTTCAGAAGGTTGCAATCCATTGTGGTAGGAAAGGCTTGGTCATGGGAGTGACTCTGACTTGGGTGGTGGAATATGAGCCTAGGGCTGTTCACATAGTGTGGTCCAGGACACAGCAGAAACTACAGGATCAAGGTCAGGCAGGTATCACCTTCAAAGGCTTTCCCCTAATGACATCTTTCTGCCGGCCCAGCCCCACAGCCTTCAAAATAGGTAACCAAACATTCAAAACATGAGCCTGTAGCAGACATTTAAGACTCAGAATATTAATATAACAAACACTAAAGCCAAGAGTTAAATTATCAAGACTAGTAAAATTAATGAATCCATGACAAGTCTGAGATAGCACATGAGAGAGAAAAGGGAGAGCAAAAGAAAGAGGAGACATGTAAAAGGATGTCACTTCTGATACTGAATGCATTAAAAATGAAAGCAAATAAACTTGAAATTTTAGATAGTCAAATTCCCAGAAAAACACAACAGAAGGAAAAACAATGGAAAATCTGAATGGTCATATAAGTAATTAATTGAGTCAGTAAATTTAGATGTTTTTAATTTTTTATTTATTTTTATTTTATGTGTATGAATGTTTTGCCTGCATGTATGTAACTGAACTTTGTGTGTGCAATGACTGTGGAGGCCAGAAGAGGATATCAGATCCCCTGGGACTGGAGTTATGGATGGTTGTTAGCCACCATGTGGGTGCTGAGAACAGAACCTGGGGCCTCTGCAAGAGCAGGCAGTGCTCTTAACTGATGAGCCATCTCTCCAACCCCAACTGTTTCTTTTTTTTAAAGATTTGATTTATTTTAATTTCATATGTATTAGTGTTTTGCCTGCATGTATTGTAAGTGCATCTGTGCATGCAATGCCCACAGAACTAAAAGAGGGTGTCAGATCCCTTGGAAGTAGAGTAACATATGGTTGTTAACTGCCATGTGGGTGCTGGGAACCAAACCTGGGTCCTCTGAAGAGCAGCCAGTACTCTTAACCACTGAGCCATCTCACCAACTCCTAAATTGAAAATCTTAAGGCCAGATGACTTTACTAATGAGTAAGTGCTACCAAGCATTTAAGAAACAAGTTCTATTGACTAAATATAAATTTTTTAAGCACATCAAGAGGAAAGGCATCATCATAACCTTGATAATCGCACTAGACAAGGATGCAGTAAAAAAGAAAATTAAAATTATTCATAAGCATAGATGCAAAAAGCTTTAAACATATTAGAAAATTGAATTCAGTGACACATAAAAAAATGATACATCAAGATGATCTTAAGTCTAGTCAAGAACTGCAAAAGTTGGTTTAATCAAATATCTGTTACTTCATTAGTATATTAATTAAATTAATATAATCTTCAAAGGGAAATTTTTAATCATCTCAATTGATACAGCAAATACATTTGATAAAATTATGCATATATTCATGAGAAAAACACAAAAACTAAAATTAATCAAGAACATTCTTCATTCGATATAGCATGCCTTTTTAAGAGGCCCTATAGTCAGATAATACTTAACAGTTATTGAAAATATTCACTCTGAAAGTACAGTAACCAAGGAAGCCCACTTGCACCATCTCTAGAAACATATGCAGGAGGCCCTGGTATAATAGGCATGAAAAGATACAAGAAATGAAAATTATCCACCGATGACATAATCATGTATGTAGGAATCTATAAGGTTTAGAAATTAATCTGTGAGTTAGCAAGGTTGTTGGATGACAACAAATTGTATTTTGATATTTTATTAATTTTTTCATTTTATGTGTATGAGTGTATTGCCTGTATTTATGTGAGTGCACCCGTGTCATGCAATGCCACAGAGGTCTTCAGATTCCCCTGGAACTGGAGTTAAGGATGGTTCGTAGCCACCATTCGGGTGCTGGGAATCAAACCCGGGTCCTGTGCAAGAGCAGTCAGTGCTCTTAACCACTGAGCCATCTCTCCAGCCCCAACAAATTGTATTTTAATACAGCAGCAATAAGCAATTAGAAATATAAAATTTTGCCAGGCGTGGTAGTACACACCTTTAATCCCAGCACTCAGGAGGCAGAGGTAGGTGATCTCTGTGAGTTCAAGATCAGCCTGGTTTACATAGCAAGTTCCAAGCCAGCTGGGGCTACGGGGAGACCCTGTCTCAAAAAAGACCAAAAAAAAAAAAAAAAGTAATTATCCCACTTCAACAAAAGAATTTTCAAAAATTAGGTAGTATTTTTTTTCAATTAGAAATATAAAATTTTGCCAGGCGTGGTAGTACACACCTTTAATCCCAGCACTCAGGAGGCAGAGGTAGGTGATCTCTGTGAGTTCAAGATCAGCCTGGTTTACATAGCAAGTTCCAAGCCAGCTGGGGCTACGGGGAGACCCTGTCTCAAAAAAGACCAAAAAAAAAAAAAAAATGTAATTATCCCACTTACACAAGAGCATTTTCAAAAATTAGGTAGTAACACTAAATACTTAGGAATAAACCTAATAGAAATATGAAGGCGCTTACATAGCAATATATAAGAATTAATGAGAAAAATTAAAAGAACACCTAAAAATTGGAAGCATGCCGAGGAGAGCGCTGAATCAGAGCATTGAATCATGAAGACCTGATTTCTCTCATCACCCACTAAAAAGCTGGGCATAATAATGGTGGACACTTTTTATCCCAGGGCTGGGGAAGCAGAGGTACATGGATCCCTGGAGCTCACTGGCCAGTCAGCCTACCCGAATCAGTGAGCTCCAGGTCTCTGAAAACAAGGAAGACAGCTCCTAAAGAACTACCTGAGGTTGACCTTTGACCTCCATAGACACACGCATACAAACACAGGCACTCTTAGACACATGAACATGCAAACATACGTACACAGTTAATCAATTAAGCGAAAATAGAACTGAAGGGATGGCGCAGTAGATGACCTACTTGGCATGCCAGAATGAGCACCTGAGATCAGATGCCAGGCACTCATGTAAAAAGGTGGGCACAGTAACCCGTGCTTCTAATTCCCAAACCGGAGAGGTGGACACAGGCAGTTCCTGGAGCTCACTGGCTAACCAACTAATCAGTGAGAGACCCTGCTTCAAAAACTAAAGTGGATTGGTCCAGGGAGATTGCTTAGCTAGTAAAGGGCCTTGCCTCCAAGCCTAACAACCTGAATTCAATCCTTGGGACCCACTTGATAGAAGGAGAGAACTGACTCCCACAAGTTTTCCTCTGACCTCCTTATGCATTTTTAGATGTAATTAAAAAAATTTTAAGGTTTATAGAGAAAAAGTAAGGAAGACATTCAATATCAACCCCTGTGACCTCCACAGGCACACACAGACAAATCCACATACACTGGAACACACACACACACACAGACGGAAAAATATACCATATTTGTGATTTGGAAAATTCATTATTGTTAAGCTGCCAGGGGACCGAATGTGAAGCTCGGTTTGTAGAGTGTTTACCTACAGTGCACAAAGAGGTCCTGGGATCATTCCCAGTACTCCCTAAACTGAATGTAGAGGGACATGCCTAGGATCCCAGCACTCAGGAGGTAAAGGCTGGAAGACCAGACATTGGGGTCATCATTCTCTGTGTAGCAAGTTAATAGAGTGTTGAATATATGAGACCCTATCTCAACAGAAAAAAAAAAAAAAAGACGGCAGTTCTTCACTGAAATGATTTATAAGAATAATACAAAATGCAATCAAAACATAAGCAGGCTATTTGTGGCAAATCAACAAGTTTCTTTCAAAATGTATGAAGAGAAATACAAAGGACCAAGAATACTTTAGCTAATTTTGAGCAACATAAGTAAGATTTAGCTCAGCTGAAATCAATACTTACTGTAAACCTGTGGAAATTAAGACAGTGTAATACTGACCCAGGAATAGATAACTGCAGTAATAGAGCAGAATAGCATGGACAGGAAATGATTTGTGTATGAAAACTTGATTTATCTCAAAGGTGACACTACAGAGCTGTGGAAACAGTTTTTAATAATTGACTTGGAGTCAACCAGATGGGGAGCTTTTTATAAAGGCATTAATCACTTTCATGAGGGTTCCTTATGGTCCAAAACGTCCCATAGAGCTCATCTCCAAATACCACATGAGACACAAAACTATGTGTCATGTAACTCCATCTGCGTAGAGTTCAAAAACAGCCCAAACTAACCAGTGGTGGCCATAATCAGGATAATCAGAAGAAGCTAATGATGAAGTTCCCAGGAGCCCCTTGATGTTACTGCTAACATTGGTCCTGACACTTTCGCAGATGCCAAAATCTATGGTTGTTAAAATCCCTTACATAATATGATGTATTACTTATAACAAACTTACACACGCCACCCGATGTACTTTAAGATCTGCATTACTTTCGATGGCAAATACAATGTGAATGCTGTGTAAATAGTTTTACTGTATTGTTTAGGGAATAATGACTTGGGGAAAAAAATCTCCAAATGTTCAGTATAGACAGTTTTTTTCCATCCATAGTTGGTTGAATCCAAAGAGGCAGAAAACATAGATATAAGGGCTGAATGAATTCTGATTTTTTACTATTGGGTTGTTAATTCATCATAATTATAAATTATATACAATCTATATATTAACCTAAATTAAAATGTCTAATGCATAATAAAACCTTGCTGATTTTCAACTCACTACTATTTAATAAAATGTTATTTTCATGTCTTCCAAAATAGGACCATCACCTTTTATCTTCTGCCACTTGTAGAAGGGAGGAAGGACTAAGCTGAGGATACTCAGCTAAGCTATCCACTAAGCCTATCAGACCCCACCTGAGGCCTGAAAGTACACAAATAAGTCATTTTTTTCCTTTCCCACCTGATTGCAACTGCCAAGAAGAGTGGAGGACTTCAGGAAGAGGCAGGGAATGTTCTGAGGGGAAAGGGTCTCCATCCTGGCTTCTCCTGGACGAATGTGCATGTCACTGACAATTTGGCATTTGAAAGTAGTTTCTGAGAAGCTGGAGAGAAGGCTCAGCAGTTAAGAACACTTGCTACTCTTGCAGAGCACCCAGGTTCAGTTCCCAGCACCTACATGGTAGCTAGCAACCATCCTTAACTACAGTCCCAGAGGATCCAATGCCCTATTCTGGCCTCCATAGGCATTGTACACATGGATGCACTTGCATACATGTAGCAGAACACTCATACAATTAGTTAATTAATTAATTAATTAGCTTCTGGAATCGTCAATTAAGTATCTCTTAATTCTATTCAATATGATTTTTCTGTTTTATGGTCTTTTACAAACAGGGTCTCCCTATAACCACAGTTAGCCTGGAACTCACTATGTAGACCAGGCTGGTCTTGATCTCACAGAGATCCATCTGCCTCTAACTCCTGAGTGCTGGGATTAAAGATGTGTGCCACCACATCTAACCCAAGATTATTTTTCTTATGAAAACTTCTGATTCAGAAGAAACCATTGAGAATGAATTTCTGTTTTTTAACTTTTCTTGTTAATTGGCATACAAACTTTGTTTATCACGTATACTGTAATGTTTGAAGAATAGATACATTATAGAATGGGTAAAATGCATGACTTGACATAGATATCATTCATTTGGGGTGAGAGCATTTATCAACCCACCTAGCACTTTTTCAAGAATTTGGTATAGTCATCCCGATAGTCCTCATACTGTATAATAAAGAAGTCTCTCAAGCTTATTCCTTCTAAGAGACCATTTTCTTTCCAAACAATTGGCCACTGAGCTTCTTCTCATGGTACATTTAGTAATCAGACCTCATAAATATATTCTTGTGGTGTTTTTTTTCCTTGAAAGACTTTGTATACTTAGAAGATGTCCCTTGGTATATATGAATTTTAACAAGACATATTTATTTTCCAGAAATATATAAAATGTACAAAAGAAACACTGCAACTAAATCCTTCACCACCTTTTCAGAGTTGAAAATGGAGGGTGAACAATATCCATCCATGTAACAGATTTACAAAGAATCAAACTTAGTTCATTCGTCTTGGCCTTGTTCTGCAACATTGCAGCCTCTTAAAGGGTGTGTGGTATAAAGATCAGTCCAAATGAATGTTCTGTCATCACGTTCCATTCACCCAGTTTATGTTGACTAAGTTCTCTAAAATATTTTTCATGAAATACAAATAATTGAATTGTTCCTTGTGCTCAGGTTCATCAACTAGGCTGTGAAGTTGTTGTCTTGCTACTGGAACTTAATCCCGACCAAATAAACCTTTTTAACTGGGCCATTGACCGATGCTACACGGGTTCCTACCAACTTGCATCCGGCTGCTTTAAAGCCATCGCAACAGTGTGTGGAAGCAGGTATGGCTCTCACAGTTGGTTAATGGTGAGTAGAATGACGCTTGCTCTTTGGTCTGTGAGTGGTTAACAGCTGGCTGTTTTGCAATTATCTTTAGAGTAAGTCCTATAAGAATCCAGAGTGACCTGGGTCCTTCATTACTACCCCTTTAAGTTTGTAAGACATTGGTTTTTTCATTTGATCAGAAGATATTTGTGTCATAGTTTCTTTCGTTTGAATTACCCAGAAATTCATAGTGAAGCAAGAAAGCAAAATTTGAAAATGATGAAGATACACTACAGGAATTAAAGGAATGTGTACAACTGTTGTGACAGGTGCTAACTGTAAGCCCTTTAGCCATCTGCAGACCAAATCAAACCCAGGAAACAGCCTAACTCTTTAAATCCTTCACACAAAACTTCAGAAAGGAAAAAAAAAAGGTGGGGAGGGGGGGATATGGTGCCTTAGATTCCATAGCTCACACTTATTTGGAAATGTGCTGAGGACTGAAGCCACGCCCTCATGCATGCTAAAAATGCACTCTGCTACTGACCTACACCCAGCCAAATATTATACTTCTAAAACTACTGTCCAGAATAAACTAGTGAGTTCTAGTGAGTTAGCAAGGCTGTTTAGTACTACAGTTAATGGAGTGGAATAATTTCATAGCCAAAATAAAATCCCCCAAATTGTATAAGTTGTTCCTGAGAAGAGCTTATATATTAGGAAGGTAGGGGGGAACAGAATACAGTTGAACTTTATTTTCAAAAAGATTCATATAGGCCATCAATTTTCCTATTAAATTAAATGTCGCATTTTAAAGCTGAATCAAGTTAATAAAGTGATTTGGTTTTAAGTTACAGCCTATGATGGGTTTAAATAAGACTAGTATTTTGATAAATCTACATGACCATTCTATTTAAAAAGAGACAAATTTCTCTTTTATTTTTATTTTATGTGTGTGTTTTCCCTGTATGTATGTGTGTAAGTGTATCCTGTACATGCCTAGTTCCTACAGAAGCCAGAAGAAGGTGTTGGATCCCCTGGAACTGGAGTTACAGACAGTTGTGAACTGCATGTGGGTGTTGGGATCCAAATCTGGGTCCTCTGCAAGAGCAGCCAGCCAGTGCTCTTAACCACTGAGCCATCTCTCAAGCCCCTCTTTAAATTTTTTTTTGTTTGTTTTTGGGGGGATTTTTTTTGTCTTTTTGAGACAGGGTCTCCCTGTAGCTCCAGCTGGCCTGGAATTCACTATGTCGACCAGGCTGGCCTTGAACTCACAAAGATCTGCCTGCCTCTACCTCCCAAGTGCTGGGATTAAAGGCATGCGCCACCATGCCCGGCTTCCTCTTTAAAATTTTGTCTTCCTTTAATAAAGACAATAGATTATTTTCCACATCTAAAGTTTTTAGTAGCCATAATCATAGTAGTGGAATTTTTATTATATACTTTTTTGACAATAACCCAAACTGTGTTTTTTCAAGTTTTATTTCTTGATGTAAGCATTACTAGACATGATGTGTAACTGCAGAGCATTGACATGATGATATTGTTGCAGAAATCTCTCAGGGAGCAATGTTTTACCCCCAGATATTTTATTTTTTATTTTTTTAACTGGCCATTGTCAGCCCTATGGAGGAGTGTTGGCGAGCATGAGAAACAGCTTGCATGTGCACAGACCTGAGAAGAGCTTCACTAAGGGAGTGGGTGGTGTCTTGGAACTGGAACTCTTGTGGAACCAGGGTTCAAGTTGCAGAGGGCAAGCAATTAGGCTGACGTGGATTGAGTGCCAGTGAACCCAGTCAATGAAATTGTATTTTGTATGTATATTTCTTTTGAATTCTTGTGCATTTCATACAAAACATTATAATCATCTTTATTATATCCCCTCCCCATCCATGTCCTCCCATAGCCCACCCCACCAGATTTCATGCATTCTGTTATATATGTTAAGGCCTATTCAGTCAAGTTAGTGTCCCCAGATGTCCCTCAAAGCAAGTTCATCCACTGAGGTCTTGTCAGCCTATCTAGAGTCTCTGCCTTAAAAAAGATCAACTCTTCCTCACCCAGCAGTAAATAACTGCCAATAGTTCTTCAGCTAAGATTGGGGCCTGCTGCCCATTTCCCTAGTTCTTTGCTGGGTTTTTGTCTGCTTGAGTATGTGTGAGTCTTTTGCATGCTGACAGGTTTTTGTCTGCTTGAGTATGTGTGAGTCTTATGCATTGCTGTAGGTTCATATGAGCAAGATCCCAGGAGCCTGTAAGACTCTGTTTCCATATGGTCATGTACCTCCTCTCTGACTCTCAACAATCTTTCTGCCCCCACTTCCACAATGATCCCTGAGCCCTGGGTGGATGAAGTTTAATATAGGAGTCCTGTATTATGCAGACTCTTACTCTCTACATCTTGGCCGTTTGTGGACTTTTGTGTTCATTGGACTCTGTTGCATGAGGGAGCATCATTGAGAGATGCATTAGTATTCCCTCTACCCCTTGTTCCACTATGTTCTGTGAGCCTTAGGTAGAGAGGTTCCATTGTAGATGTGTCACATCCCCCATCTATTTTAATATTCTAAAAATAAAGGTTGTTCACACACCCGTCTGATTTAAAAAAAAAAAAAATGTACTCGTAACCTGTGGCTTAGAACCTTTCTCTTTATTACCCTTATCAGAATACTAAAAGTGCCCTCTTTGCTGCCTTTCACACAGTGAGCTTGATTTGAACTATTAACAGTCAAACTTATCTCATTGCATGACCATCTCATAAAATATAACACTGTACTCCTCTAACTAAATCTATGTATTTTCCTTAGGGAAAAGAAATAAATGCTTCCCAAATGTAGCAATATAGTCTCCATTTCAATGATACTTGTCATAATACTACTAGGTTATAAATCCCTCCACAGAGCTGTCTTGAGCTATGATCCCAGACTATTTGGGATGGGTTCAGAACTTAAAGTTCAACTGTTGACTCAGTTTTCTCTTTCTGCCTAAATTGTCAGCCTGTATAGACAGGGCCAAAGATAGGAGTTAGCAATCTTTACACTTGATTTTTAGAATACTTTTTTTTCAAAAGCAATTCTGATGTTTTCATCTTTTTCTTTGTTTCTCTAAGTGTTCTTCCCCCATCTATGCTGGAATTATGCATCATTTTCTAAAGCAAAAACTTTCTTGTAAGATAAAGGATGCCGCCTCCTTTTCCAAAAAGGAGTGATTACATGCCGAATCTTCTTTCAGAGGAGTGTGATATCTTATACGACCACTTACAATTAATGCTATAAATGGAATATCTATATCATACCCCTGCCTGAAAGGCCCGGGAATCATCTCTGAAGAGGGAGCAGAAAGATTGTAACAGCCAGAGTGTAGTGGTCATCTGCCACAAAACAGTATTTGCTGGACATGACAGGCCATTTTGCACATGAGCTCACAATATCTGTGACCTGCCCAAGATCAAGCCAGCCAATTCCCAGCATGGATGGGGAAGAGGCTCATCAAATCCGCCCCCCCATAAGAGCTATTGGCAACTGATGGCTGCTGGGGTAGGGAGAGTAAGTCTTCTGGGATATAGGATTCATAAGAGGCTGCCCATACTCCAGTAGATGGTCCTATACCCATGTACAAACAGGCAGCACTGAGTGTGTTTTCAGAGAGAGAGAGAGAGAGAGAGAGAGAGAGAGAGAGAGAGAGAGAGAATATGAAGTTGAGAGAGAAAGGTAATAGGAGTGATAGGGGAAAATAGAGATGGGAAGTAGATTTGATCAGATCACATTATGTGCATGTATGCAATTCTCAACAAAAATAAATACATAAAAGATTGGATTTTTAAAATGTTCTTGTCAATTTCAATTTTCTGCTTTGTGTTTTAAAAGAGGTAATTTACTATTTTGCATGGTCAATTTATACATTCATTAGATGTGATTATGGGGAAAAAAGGTTTTCTACATTCTTCTCTTGGGTTCCTCTAATAGAAGTAAAGGACAGTGCATATGTGTGTACACACATACCTACTATGCACATGCAACATAATAGAGCTGTGTATGCTCTAACTCTGGTAATACAGAAATATACAGACAAAAGTGATGGCAGAACTGGCAATATTAATTTATAATATTTTTCATAAAGTATGTGTGAATATTTGATTAAAAGCTATGAAATGTAGCTCAGTACTATAATTTAGCAAAAAAGAAAATAGCTTACCTGTCAGGCAGTGTTGAGTGAGGTAACTGTTTGGCTTCTGTGCTTGTACTTATTGACCTTCCCCTAATTGCATATGATATCAGGACAGAACAGACAAGGAGACCGAACAGACCAAAAGGTTTTCCAAGATTATGAATCAAGACAAATTATTTGGTCTTCTCTAAAATTACAGGTCATTTCCAATCACTAGTGTGGTTCACCAGAGTTCTCTGCACATTTAAATATTTAAACAAATTCCACTGTTTTAATTCTACTCTCCAATAGAATTTGAAAGTGTTTAATACATGTTCTAAAATGTATATAAGATAAAATTTTTGAATTTTTTAAAGATGTTATTGACTTTTCAAGGGTGGATTTTGTCATTGTTTATGTTAGAGACCAGGTCTGCAGACGACCCTCTCCCAGTATAAAAGAGCCTCACAAGACAGGCCCTGAGGGCCCACTTGCAAAACAGGAACTGGTCAGACAGCTACATTTAGAGCCGTCTCAGCACAAAGCTGTTCCCAGATAATTTTGGAAGATAAACAGGCCCCTGCACCCTGTAAGAGCTATCTCTGTTCAAGGTACTTCCCTTGAAACTGTAAAGATTATTTTTGCCACCTTCCACATTCCCCAGCCCCCCTATAAGAACTTCCTCAGCAGTCAGAAGGCTGCTGGTTGCCTTTCTCTCCCCACCTGAGCTGCCAGCCACCAGCAATCCTAAGAAATTAACTTTGCTTTACTGGAGTCATCCTATGTTTCCTGTGGCTACTGACCAGCTTTTATCTAACAGTTTGTATGTTGGTTTTGACTTAACTTTGCATAAATCTTTTCTCATTTATAAGGCCTAGAAGACTTGAAATTTTCTGCACATTCATTTGCTTATCTTTTGTAGTGGGGGATGGTGTTGCCCACTGTGTGCATGTATAGGTCAGAGGACAACTTATGGGCATCTGCTCTCCTTCAGCCATGTGGGTTTTGGGGATTGAACTTAGATCATCCATCAAACTTGGCAGTGCCTCAACCTGCTGAGCCATCCTTGCTGGCCCAAGACTTGAATTCTTAAAAGTAAATGCTCATTCCTTATACTTGGGAGGCTGAATCAGAAGAATCCTAATGTGTGTCCAGCTTGGGCTACATGGTGAGACCTTGTCTCAAAAAAAAAAAAAAAAGAAAAGGACAACAGGGGACTAAGAAGATGGTTCAGTGGTTAAGAGCACTGGTTGTTTTTGCAGAGGACCTGGATTCAGTTTCCAGCACCCACATGGTGGCTAACAACTATCTGTAACTTCCGCTCCAAGGGATCTGATGCCCTCCTCTGGCCTCCACAGGAATTGCACACATGTAGTGCACATACATACATGCAAGCAAAACACTCATGCACATAAAGTAAAAATAATAAAAGTTTTTAAAGAATAAGAAAAAAAATCCATTTCTAATCCCATTTTCAACATCTAGATATAGATTAGGTTTGTGTGCACTTCTTTTTCTCATTTAAAACCATTCTAATTTTTTCCTTGTCCAGCTCTTTCATTTTCTCTGTTCCTCCTTTCAATGAATTTCATAGCCCAGTTCTAAGTGAATGCTCTAATCTGGCCCTCACAACAGGAGGCTTTGTCTATCCCATCCTACCTTGGAATCTCAATGACCCAGCAATATTTTTGTGGATTTTGCATTCTTTTTACATTTTTTTTTTACATATATGGACCAAGACATATATATTCTTCACTTTTTATAGAAATCAAAGTGTTTGTCTTGATTCATAACCTCGGAAAACCTTTTAAACTATTCACAGTCTCCTTGTCTGTTTCATCCTGATGTACTTTGCAGTTAAGGGGAAGGTTAGTATATATGTGCACAAAAAAATAAATAATTATTTTAGCTAAAACTACCTGGTATACTGTATTCTTTTGTGTTGAATTATAGTATTGAGCTACATGCCATAGATTTTAATCAAACATACATTATGAAAGCTATTCAAAATTAACTATAGTGAGTTCTGCCATCACTTTTGTCTCTGCTTATCCTGATTCCATTAAGGAGTCCCAGCGTTGGAAGGCAGCTGTAGGGAAGACACCCTGTCCTGTGGAGCTCAGAAACAGTTTGCTTTCTATTTCACAGTTTGAAAGATCTGGCTCCAAACACTGCAGTTTGTAACAATTCCAAATTAGACTAGCTGTACCATGTACTCTTGTGGTCGCTCTAGGAGGCTGAGAGTGCTGTGTGCAACAGCTTGAATTCTTTGGAGTCAGATATCTGAGATTGAAAACTCTGCGGCTTCTATGCACACTCAAGCAAGCACTTACCTTTCCTAGGTCTCTCGGGCTTTGAGGAAAAGATTAAATCACAAACCTAGGTCAGGGCTTTGGCACAAAGTAAGCACATCACAGTATAAATGTCCTCGAGTATTTATCATTATTTTTACCCCTGAACCCTCATCACCTTCATCACCAGCTACCAGCTTTCTCTAATTTCCCATCAGACTTGAACGGAGTTCATTTAATAAGAAAAGTTTCAGGGGCTGAGGTATAGCTCTGTGGTAGACCATTTGCTTAGCATATACAAGGCTCCAGTTTCAATCCTCGGCACCTCAAAATAAATAATAAATAAATATTCTAGAAAAGTTATTATTTTGGAGGACAATATAGCAGAATCTACAAATTTTCAAGTGCATTCTTTAGTCCTCTATGATCTCTTCTAAGGATCTCTTCTAAAGAAATACTTGCCTGTTGGTTATTTGTGACATTATAATAGTCAGTGATTCAGAATAGTCTAACTACTTCTAGGTACATATCAGGAAACAGATTCTGAGATGGACAATCTGTTTTGAGTGCAAGAAATTTATCAGGAATGCCCTTGGGATTCCAAAAAGAAGTAAGAGAATTAGAACTTGGCAGAAATAGAAATGCTTCTGTCTTCCCCGAAGAGGCTGTGGCAGGGAAGCAGTCTTGACCTTGCCTAGGCAGATCTCCCTAACTGAAAGTGGTTTTTAGAGAGAGATTAAGTTCAGGGACAACTAATTAGAATACCACAGCATCCACTAGAGGAGTAATGTTCAAGATAGGTCCACACCTTGAAATATTCCACAGCTGTTAGCAAGACTGAGATGACTCATAGTTCAGTGAAAAAAAAATCATCTATAAGGTTATATGGGTTAAATGAACACAATACACAGACACACACACACACACACACTCAGTTTAATTACGTTTATGGAATCTAGGGATGTAACACAGTGGTAAAGTTCTCCCTCAGGTGTATGAGACCGTGGGTTTGAGCACCACCATTACAAAAACAAAAACAAAAAAAAGTTAAATAAATGATACTTGAAATCTTGTATATTGGAGCAGGAGTATTCAGATGCACAAATTTAGACATAAGACTAAAAAAGAGGCAGTAGCACAGTGGTAGTCTATGAGGTAAGAATGTCAGTGGAAAGAGAGGAGGTGGAGGACTTCTGCATCCTGTTCTGTTTACCTCCCTTAGCTAGTACCTGTGACCAGCCGTGTGAGTACACTACCTTCCTAGCCCTCTGTGTTACTTGAATCTTTTAGAAGAAAATATATTTTTGTATTACTAATATCACAAGTCAATAGTTAGTGATACTTAAAAGAAAAAGTAGGAGTGGGAGAGATGGCTCAGAGGTTAAAGAGCACTGACTGCTCTTGCAGAGGACCCAGGTTCAGTTCCCAGCATGCCAATTAACAACTGTCCATAACTCCAGCTCCAAGAGATCCAACACTCTCTTTAGCATGGCCAAAATAGCATGGCAGTGTCAGGGTTGGAGAAATGACTCAGCTGTTAAGAGCACTTGTTCTTACAGACAATCCAGGTTTGGTTCCCAGTACCCATATCTAGTGGCTCACAATGGTCTATAATTCCAGTTCCAAGAGATTCAGCACCTTTTTATGGACTTCCCAGGCAACTCCACACATATGAAATACATACATACACTTAGGAATGTACATATACAAATTAAATAAATAAATCTTTAAGAAAAAATGTTATGTCAGCATCATTCATAAGGACCAGAGTCAACGTTCCACGTCAAGTTCTGAGAGGTAATAATCTATCAAGTTTGCTAGCTAGGATGACTTATGAACTATGCTGTTTACTTATTGTATTTTAATTTCTTTAGGAATTATCCCTTCGACATAGTGACACTGCTAAACCTCGTTCTCTTCAAGGCTTCTGACACCAACAGAGAGATTTATGAAATCTCCATGCAGCTCATGCAGGCACGTATCACTTCCTGGCATAGAACATTTACATCTATGAGCTTAGAATGCATTTCCTTGTTTCTCTGTCATGTGAAGACTAAGATTACATGTATGTAATATTCTGTAGACATAGTGACTAACTGATGCTTGACTAATTCTACATTGAAATAAGTACCTATTAGTTCTATTATTGCTCATTTTTGTTGAATATAAACATTCCTGAGATGTCCAGCTAATATTTTTTATCTTGTGTCTTATGTCTTTATAGATCCTTGAAGCAAAGCTTTTTGTGTACTCGAAAAAAGTCACCGAACAAAGACCTGGCAGTATTCTCTATGGAACACATGGCCCATTGCCACCCCTCTACAGTGTGTCGCTAGCCCTCCTGTCATGTGAACTGGCCAGAATGTACCCTGAGCTCACTCTTCCTCTCTTCTCAGGTGCCGTTCAGTTGTCACCAAAGACATATGTGACCATTTTTTTCTGCTCTAAGTTTTCCTTTTTAAAATCTGCTGCAATTTTACAGTCAGTTATTGATGCTAAATTTGTGGATCAGAATTGTCATGGCCTAAATGTAATTATATGTGAAAGTAAAAGTGATTATGGGACTGGAGAGATGACTTTGCAGTTAAGAGCACTTGATGTTCTTGCAGAGTTCTGTTCCCAGGAGCCACATCAGGCAGCTCACAACTACCTGTAACTCCATCTTCAGGGGATCTGATGCCCTCTTCTGGCTTCTGTGAGAAATTGCATGCACGTGTGCACGCTTACACACAGACACACACCCATATATACATAAATAAAAGTAAAATCTTTTAAAAATGTGATTATTTAAAGAAGTATAGGTATAAATATACACATGAGAAATGCGAAAGATGCTTAGATCAATAAACATACTTTACATACATATATGTATATACACACACAAACATATATTTACAAAAAAATTAAATATGGGTGATATACTTAATAACTAATTTCTGATAGTGATACTAGATATTATAGAATATTTATTATTATATTATGGTCTTGTTACATATATAACTTGTTGAGAGTTTTTTGGCATATTTTCCTAAGTAATTATTATGAATAACTTTTGTGAGACTTGAGCCTCAAAGAATTGCTTTTCTTGCCTAAATTAGTGGGGAATCTTGCTTAGAGGCAGACTGTGGTGCCTAGAATTCATCTTCTTTTTCCACCTGCACATCCATTGCCTTAGCCCAGCTTCTCTTCAGCCTCTGCTGCCTCTGCCCCCGACCCAGTTCATCCTCTGCACAGCAGTTCTTCCGCTACATAAAACTACATTTATATAGTGCTTTTCAACTCATGCTTCTGCTTAATTGTTCTAAAATAATTACTACTAATAATAGCGTCTATTTCTTGAACAGTTAACAATGTGCCAGGCTCTCTGCTAGACACTTCATGTGCATTGCAGCTATCATGTACTTGGTGTAGTTTTGTGGCTAGACAGAGGCCCTGGGGTTGAGCAGTCTAGCCCTGCCAGTTTCATCTTGAACAAAGCATAAAACTTCTAAACTGTTTCCTCATCTGCAGTCACGAGATCTACCTCACAGGGTATAAAGATTAAAATTAGTTAATTAGTCAGATGGTTGGCCCAGTCCTGGCATGAAGTTCTCAGCACCTGCACCATCATTATTCTTGTTTTATGGGTATGAAACAAGAAACTAATGCCTAAAGATGATTAACAATTCACTCAAGACAGCATAGCTGGGAAGAAGATGAACCAAATTAAATCAAGTTCTGTATTCCTCCAAACCAGTGCTATAAAATTTTAACCCCTTAGCCTATTCTTTTATTTATTTTTTTAATTATGTTTATATGTATCTGTGTCAGTGTGTGGGTATATGCACAAGTGCTGGTGCCCACAGAGGTCAAAGACACTGGATCCCCCTGTTGCTGGAGTTACAGATGGTTGTGATCCACACCATGTGGGTACCAAGAACTAAACTCCAGTCCTCTGGAAGAGTAGTCTGGCTCTTAACTGCTAAGTCATTTCTCTAGTCCCTACTCCCTTAGCTTATTGTTTTCCAAACTTGCTTTTCCTAACTTGCTTTCCACCTTTGCATCCAAGGACCCTCTACTCCAATCTCAGTCTTGGCCCAACTTGCCAGGCTCTGCTGTAAGCCCTTGTTTCCACACTTGCTGCTTCCTCTGTTGGGACTGGACTTCCTCCTTGCTCCCCAACTGCTAGACTTCCTAAACATCTAATTTTAATATCTACTTTGACTCTACAAACTCCTCCCATCCACCTGAGGCAGAATCAAATACTTCTTGGAAAATTCAAATTTATTTTTATCCACTTCAACCAAGATTCGAGCCCCCCCCCCCATGTGTTAGCCATTGTCCTTGGGTGCTAGGGACACAGAGGTGAAGCATCTCTCCCATCAAAGGTCTGGTAATAAAGGTAGATATACAATTATGTGCTTAAGATACAATATGACAGGACTGGAGAGATTGCTCAGCGGTTAAGAGCACAGACTGCTCTTGCAGAGGACCCGGGTTCGATTCCCAGCACCCACATGGCAGCTAACAACTGTACCCTAGTTCCAGGGGAATCCGAAACCCTCTTCTGATCTCCACAGCATTGCACGACACGGGCGCACTCACATACATGAAGGCAATATGACACGGGTGCACTCACATACATGAAGGCAATACGACACGGGCGCACTCACATACATGAAGGCAATACGACACGGGTGCACTCACATACATGAAGGCAATACAACTCATACACATAAAATAATAAAATATTTTTTAAAAAGATACAGTATGACAACTGCAATTCAAGAAAATAAGCATGTTCAACATACGAGATGGAAACTGATGGTATAATCAGTTATTAAACCAGAAGTTTCAGGAAAGATTTCCCAAACAGGTTAAAGTCAGCTGCAGTTTGAAACCTGAGAAGAAATTTGCAAAGCAGGCAAGTAGTTGACAGGCCCTGCAGACCAAGAGAATAGAATAAAACAGTGTGATGCACTGGGAAGTTATATAGAGCTTAACATCACATGCAGGAAAAGGAAAAGCTAGAGATAATCATGGACCATAGAGGCAGCCCTGAAGTCCTGGAGGACCTGTGTTCTACCGGAAGGAATTTGAAGGATGCTTCTTGACCCATTTCAGACCCCTGTGAGAAAAGGGACATCCTAGCAAGCTGCTGGGGTTTTGAAAACCACAGATGAGTCTTAAAAAGAAGAGGAAATGTCAGATCAGCATGTGTTTGAGAAAGTGTGGAAGGTGTGTTAGAACACACTGGAGAGGGAATGTTAAGAAGGGAGGATGGTAAACAATGGGTGCCCTTTCAGGGTTCTTAGACTCATTCACAAAAGAATTTAAGCTGGGTGGGCCTGGTAACACACACCTTTAATGCCAGCACTTAGGAGGCAGAGGCAGACAGATATCTGTTGAGGTATAGACCGGCCTGGTCTACATAGTGAGTTTCAGGTCAGCTGGGGTTACAGGGAGACCTTGTCTTCAAAAGTAAAGTCTAAAAATAAAAGAATTTAAGAATTAACTCAAACAGAGCTTAAGAGACAATCTTACTAGAATTTAAAGAAAAATCCTCAGGGAAGTTACACTGTAAATCTCAGCTGCTTCCCTTAGGAGGAGAATGGAGGGGAAAAAGAAGCCATAAAGCCATGCAGGTTTAGAGCCAGCATGGAGCTTAGAGCCAGCACGGAGGTCAGACACATGGCAGCCTAGCAGTCACATAATAAGAACTTTATAGAAAAAGAAATTCAAGATGTTGGGGAAGCCCAGAGCATTATGAAAAACATGCTTGGAAGAAAAAGAAGAAAAAGGGAGAGGTTACACTTTTCAGAAGAATTTTTTAAAAAGTGGGCAGATTTACAGAGAGCCACACATTTGTGACCCAGTCCATAAACTGTGTACCAACTCATTAACACACTAGGTATGCCACCTACCTCTTTAGCATGACTTAAGGTGAACCTGCCTTCCTAGGGGTGGTCCTGACACCAGGTGATTGACCTGGCAAAACTAGAAAGTTGGGTCTTCATCCTGGCCAAAGATTTTATTCTCTTGACCAATTTTCTCCTATGGAGCTTTTTGCTACTGTAACAAGAGTAGGGAGTGGAGACCAGAGCCAGAAGCTGATGGGGAAGTGCTTTGGAGAGTGTATGGCCTGGGAGGCTGATGGTGATGACTGCCCAGAGAGCCAATGGTGGGAGAGCAGGATAGTGGGGCCAGGCAGAGACCAAGAGCATTGCCTGCGATCTGAGAGCAGGCCTCTATCTAACAGAAGGTCTTAACCTCAGGAGAAGGCCCCAACTAGCAACACACAGAACAGAGGGCACAAGACAGGGCACAGGGGATCAGGAGTGGTGAAAGCACAGAGGAGAAGAAAGGGCCTTAACCAACTTTTCAATATAGGGTGAGGGGCAGAAAAGGAATAGAAAACTGTTTGGAGAGGGCCTCAGTTATCCAGGGTGTTAAATTTCATGGAAATCAAGAGTTATAAAAAGGATTTAGAAGGAAGGGGGAGTTACAGCCTCTGGTGAGAATAATCTGGAAGAGAGGCTGTGCAGGTACAGAGCTGTGCAGGGGGCAGTGGCATCAGAAGCCAGAATGCAGTGGCCTGTAAGGAGGGGAGGCAGAGGCTGGGAGGGGGGATTGTAATCAGAGGGGAGCGTTAACAGAAGAGAAGGTTGGAACCAGTTTATTAGCTGAGTGGGAGAAGCTAGTAAAGTGGGGGCAGCTGGTGGTTGCAGAGATTAACGAGCTGTGGGGCACCTAGAATGAAAGGCAAGTGTTTCTACGTTTCTAAACAAATTTCCCTTTTGATTTATGAAGAGCTTCAAAAAAATAATAACTTGAAAAAATTAACAGGACCTAGTGAATTTCTAACTCTTACTTTTACAGCCTCTACTATTCTGGACCACATGGTGAGATTTTATTGCCTTTAATGTTAGGTGACCTAATTGCTTGTTGGAAGCCACCCAAGTGGTTCACGTCCCTCTTAAAGGAATGCTGAAAAAGGCATAGCAACACCCTGACATCTCACGTTTTATTTAATTTCTATCTAAATGGGTAACAGGGGCTCTGTGGTATTTTCCTTTTTCTTCAAAAACATCTCCAATGTAGGCGCTTGTCCTTGCTCTTCTGGGGCCTCTGACAGACATCTCATTTTCTCGGTCCTGTGTCCACCACACACAAGGCAATAAGTATAATACATGAGCAAATTATGTAGATTGTTATAAGGTGGCCACTGGTGCAGTCTATACATTTTTTTTAATTTTTAAAAAATTTATTTATATTTTGTGTGTATATGAGTGTTTTGCCTGCATAGATGTAAATGCACCACATGTATACAGTGCCTGCAGAGGCCAGAAGAGGGCATCAGATCCCCTGGAACTGGAATTAACAGATGGTTGTTAGCCACCATGTGAGTGCTGGGAATTGAACCCAAGTCCTCTGCAAGAGCCACCAGTGCTCTTAACTGCTGAGCCATCTCTCCAGCCCCCAAGTCTATTCATTTTTATGACATTGGTTTTTATTTTTAATTTTATTATTTTATGTGTATGCATGTATTGCCTGCATGTAGGTAAGTACACCTGTGTCATGCAATGCCTGAGGAGGACAGAAGAGGCTGTTGGATCCCCTGGAACTGGAGTTACAGACAGTTGTTAGCTGCCATATGGGTTCTGGGATTTGAACCCAGGTCTTCTGCAAGAACCACCAGTGTTCTTAACCACTGAGCCAGCTCTCCAGCCCATGACATTGTTTTTAAATGAGTCTTTTTAATGCTGCTTTCTCTCTGCCTGGATTTTTTTCCCAAAGTACAAGTCTTTTCTCTGGTGTATAAGAAATTTTATAACTAGAAATCATTTCCTCCAACAAATTCCCAGTTTGGTGCCTTGTGTTATCTGTTACCTTTTCCCTCTCCCCAGAGTTATTTGTCAATATAATTTTCAGTCCTCAGTTCTCCACGTGCATGCCATGGCACACTCATATACCATAAATAAATAAGTGTAATCTTAAAAAGAAATATCACTGTTTAAAGTAAAGAAAGATGGGGCTGGAGAGATGGCTCAGCGGTTAAGAACATTGGTTGTTCTTGTAGAAGACCCGGGCTCGAATGCACCCCGCATGGCAGCTAACAACTCCAGTTCTAGGGGATCCAACAGCCTCTTCTGTCTTCCACGGGCATTGCATGACATGGGTGCACTTACCTACATGCAGGCAATACACACATACATATAAAATAAAGATAATAAATATAATATTTTAAAAAATAAAGATTACATTTAGAAATTTTGACCTATATAAAACCCAACAGCTTAGCATTACCTGGTTATAAATTTAATTTTAGGGAAAGGGCCAAATCTATTAATGCTGCCATTTGGGGAATTCAAGGAATTATCTGAGTGTAATTTCTGGCATCTGTGTTGATCTGTCACGTAGTAGCCAGGAGCACCCTGGGTGAGGTTCCCAGCCGTGCTGGCTAATAATGCATGCACAGGCTCCTCATTTCCTACTGGATAATACAGGTTCTTCTCTAGACTTGAAAACCTCCTGCACCTTCTGCAAATACATAGAGCTTTGCTTCTCTGTCTGTAGAATGTATACTAGGATTATAAGCTGCCAAGCTGTTGGTGGTGGGTGACACTGTGCAGAAATGCCATCTGAGAAGGTACCAGAGAAGTGGTTGAGCTGGACAGAGCTTTGCCCTTCAGGTGGTTGTTTTGTTTGTGTTTGTGAGCACATGTATGTGTGTTTTGGGACATGGTCTCACTGTAGCTCCAGATAGCCTGGAACTTGTTATATAAACCAGGCTGGCTTCCCATCTCACAGAAATCTGCCTGCCTCTGCCTCCTGAGTGCTGGAATTAAAGGCGTGCACCATCATGCCCAGCTAGCTTTGCACTTTAGAATCAGCTCATCAAGTCAAATGCAGCACTCTGTGGACCTCCCACATTTGGCAGTTGTCTAGTAGATGCCATAATGGGGTTTATTCCTCGTGGAGTTTCACATCTCACCTTTTAATGGCTAATTTACATGGGAGACACTTGGTAAGTCATGAGGTTATTGGAAAGAATGGTGATCATGTTAAAATAATACTGTCATCACTGTTTAGGACCCCACCAAATGACAGGCACTTTGCTAAGAATGCTATATGCATTGTGAAGACATCTTCTGTTTTTTCACAGTAGCCAAGTGTAAAACCTAGGGGTAGAAGAGGGTGACTGAAGAACGGAGAGATTACTTGAGTGGTCAAGTCATGCGACTTCACATGCATTTGCATATGGTGGAATTGGGACCCAAGTGCATGCCCTGCTGACTCCCAGACCCTTGTTTTGCAGTCTAATACAACCCCTCCGTTAAGAGTGGGTTATAACTCATGAGGCCTTCACCTCACTCCGTCCTTACCAGCCTGTGCTATCCCCATGGTGCTTTCCTGCACAGAGCACCACACACACAGAACAGCAGGCTTGAGTGTGGCCTTGCTTGGTTTCATGACTTTGCAGTTCTGGATAACTACTACATGTAATAATCCTTTTAGTAAATGGAAAGTATTGTTTGATGAGAAAACTGGTGTTTGTATCTTAGCTTATTTTGGAGACTAACATATAGTTCTCCATCATTTCCTTTCTCATTAGAGGTGAGCCAGAGATTCCCCACAACACACCCAAATGGGCGCCAGATCATGCTCACCTACCTGCTGCCTTGGCTGCACAACATCGAGCTGGTGGACAGCAGACTCCTTCTCCCAGGGTCTAGCCCCAACAGCCCTGAGGATGAGGGCAAGGACCGGGAAGGAGACGTGACCACCTCTCATGGGTTAAAAGGGAATGGCTGGGGTTCTCCAGAAGCCACGTCGCTGGTCCTGAATAACCTCATGTACATGACAGCCAAGGTAACTCCAGCAGTGTGGCTCCATCATCTGAAAAGTCCTTGATGTAGATCCAGGGAACATAACATTTACCATTAAGATGACACAGACAATGGGTAGTGGTTATGGGTACATACCAATATATTTAATGCCACTGAACTCTGCACTTAAAAAGATTTATGATCCAAGTATAATAGATATAGAATGCAAGACCATCCTCGGCTACTAAGTGAGTTTGAGACTAGCCTGGGCTACATAAGACCCTGTTTAATAAAACAACAACAACAACAAAAAGAAAAAAAGTGTTTATGTTGCCAAGTTAAGCTTCCCTTTTTTTCAATACTTATTAAAGACTGCTGCATTAATGGTAATACATTATTGGTTTAGTATAAACCAAGGATGCTTTCTAGTAGTTGTGCATAAAGTCTGATGAATTTTATGAGTTTTGACAATAGCTTAAATATGTAATGTTAAGCTAAGATTTAAAAAAAATAGTAAACTGGGTCTTAGTTATTTACTTAAAAAAAGAAAATAAATATAAAAGTGTTTGGTGCATTAAGAAATGGTTATAGGGGGCTGGAGAGATGGTTCAGCGGTTAAGAGCACAGAATGCTCTTGCAGAGGACCCAGGTTCAAGTCCCAGCACCCACATGGCAGCTCACAACTGTCTGTAACTCCAGTTCTAGGGGATCTTACACCCTCTTCTGACCTCCACAGGCACTGCACAACATGGGTGCATTTACACACATGCAGGCAATACACTCATACACATAAAATAATTTTTTAAAAAACTATAAAAAAAAAGAAATGGTTATTATGAGCTGGAGAGATGGCTCAGTAGTTAAGAGTACTGGCTGCTCTTGCAGAGAACTCGGGTTCGATACCCAGCACCCACAAGGTAGCTAACAAGGGTCTGTAACTCCAGTTCCAGGGGATCCAATGCCCTCTTCTGACCTCCGGGGGCATTGCATGACACAGGTGCATGACATACATTACATGATACATACATGTAGGTAATACACTCATACATATAAAATAAAAATAATAAAATATTTTTTAAAAAGAAATGGTTATGAGCCAGCTGTAGTGGGACCTCCGGGGGCATTGCATGACACAGGTGCATGACATACATTACATGATACATACATGTAGGTAATACACTCATACATATAAAATAAAAATAATAAATATTTTTTAAAAAGAAATGGTTATGAGCCAGCTGTAGTGGTGCATGCCTTTAATCCCAGCACTCTGTGAGATCGAGGCCAGCTTGGTTTATATAATGAGTTCCAGACCAGCTGGGGCTACAGGGAGAACTTATCTCAAAAAAAAAAAAAAAGATGAAGAGGAGGATGAGAAAAAAAAGAAAATGTTTATGATGACTAGGGATATGTCTTAGTGTACAGCTCTTGCCTCATTGCACAAGACCCAGGGTTTAACTCCCAGCACTGCAATTAAAGAAGAGTATAGGGCAGTTTTAGTAACGCTTGTGTGTGTAGTGTGTGTGTATATATATGTATGTATATATATGTATATGTGTATAGACATGTTTATCATTTTTTAGAGAAAACATGGCCTAGAATTTTTAAAAATTACTTGCTGTGGGTACTGTGTATGTGACCAATCTTCACTGTAAATTGCTATCCACTAAAAAATGGTATTTTTCTGTTGAATGTCCATTTTCCCCTCCTCATGATTTTGAATAATCATAATCTTCAAAACAACTTTCTCCCAACACTTTGCATCCTACATTCTTCACACATCATCAGGCTGATTTTTTTTTTTTTTTTTTTTTTTTTGAGACAGGGTCTCCCTGTAGCCCAGCTGTCCTGGAACTCACTATGTAGACCAGTCTGGCCTTGAACTCACAGAAATCCACCTGCCTCTGTCTCCCAAGTGCTGGGATTAAAGGCGTGTGCCACCATGCCTGGCTCAGGCTGATTTTTATTATGCTTACTCTAGTATGGAGATGAAGTTCCTGGACCAGAAATGGAAAATGCTTGGAATGCTCTGGCCAACAACGAGAAATGGAGCAACAACCTGCGGATCACCCTTCAGTTCCTGATCAGTCTGTGTGGGGTGAGCAGCGACACCATCCTCCTGCCCTATGTAAGTGCCCCTGGCTTTCAGAAGGGATGGCCCCTGCTTGGGGCGTCCAATGTCAGAGTGTACTCTTGGCTCCCTCCAAAATAGAGGTGTCACCATCCTGCAAATCCCCAGGGCTCATCCAGATGCTACAGAAAAGTTGCCTTCTTCCCCAAAACACAGGGCCATGTGCTAGTGGCAACTGTCAGCCCCCTGGTCTAAGCTTCCGAACTCGGATACCTGTGAATGGAGATTGAATCTTTTTCAGTGTCCAGTGCCTCCTTCTGTCAATCAGCATCAGAATAAAAGAGGCTGAAGATAAAGCAGTGCATCATCACTAGTGAAAAGTGTTTCTGCTTTCCACCTTGATGCTCTTGAAACAAAATAAAAGCAGAGAATCTAGGTTTTTCTTTTCAAAAGTAGGTGATAGGAATTAGAACATAGTGGAGACAGATGTCTCTGGTCTTTTCTGTTTTTACTTGAAGGTGGTGGAATGACAGGATGACAGCAGTTTCTAACACACATTCACTCGACATTTCACCTGTTTTTGTGACATGAATTTTTGTTGTTTTGAGCTGCTTTAGCCACACTGCAACATGTGTACTTAGGGTTAGACTTCCAGTCCCATGATAATGTGACACATTGATGGTGTTATTTTTTTAAATGTAAGATCTTATAGGCAGTTAAAATTCATTTGTTTCTAGTGACCAAGTGGATAGGAAACTAAATTTCCTTTTTTAATAAAAAATAGCAGTCTCCCCCCTCAGGGTTGGTATACATAAAATCCTTCTTGTCGTATAAGGACCATGCACTAACCAATTGTGCTACTGGAACACCAGTAAAATCCTGAAAATTTATTTTTGTTTAGATTGAATCAGTTTGCCCTAAGAGTAACTTTTTAAAAGCAAACCACTTAAGGCTAGAGAGATGCCTCAGTGGTTAAGAGCACTGGCTGCTCTTGCAGAGAACCCAGGTTCAATTCCCAGCACCCATATGGCAGCTAACAACCATCTGTAACCCTAGTTCCAGGGTAATCTGATGCTCTCTTCTGACCTCCACGGGCAGTGCACCACACGGTACACTTACATACATGCAGGCAATACCCTCGTACACATTAAATGAAATAAAAATAAATATAAATATATTTTAAAATTAAAGCACTCAAAAAAGGTGTCTATAGGGCTGGAGAGATGGCTCAGGGGTTAAGAACACTGGCTATTCCTGCAGAAGACCTGGGTTCGAATCCCAGCACCCACAGGGCAGCTAACATTTGTCTGTAACTCCAGTTCCAGGGGATCCAACAGCCCCTTCTGTCCTCCATGATCATTGCATGACATGGGTGCATTTACCTACATACAGGCGATACATACATACACATAAAATAAAAAATAATAATAATAAAGTATTTTTAAAAAGGTGTCTGTATAGTGGGTTAGTTTGTTTTGTTTTGTTTTTAAGTGGTGTAAGTTTTAATACATGCCCTCACATCCGCCCAGGATAGCAAAGGTTGGCTGTCAGGATGATGGTTCCAGATGATAGTGTGTTGATCCAGCCTGATGTTCTGATGGAAAATATATCCTTCATTTATTTTCTTTTTTCAAGATTAAGAAGGTAGCAATATACTTGTGTCGAAATAACACCATCCAAACCATGGAAGAACTGCTCTTTGAGTTGCAGCAGACGGAGCCAGTGAACCCTATCGTCCAGCACTGCGACAACCCACCCTTCTACAGATTCACAGCTAGCAGCAAGGCCTCTGCAGCTGCTTCTGGTAGGGGCAGGGCCCCTGGGCATGCACTCCTATTGAACACTAAACAGGTTTGAGTGTGTCTTACAGTCCTTTTCCTGTGAATACATTCATCTCTTAAGATTGCTTAACAATAGTTCCCTGAGGGGCTGGAAAGATAGCTCAACAGTCGAGAGCACTGGCTGCTTCTGGAGAGAACCTTAGTTCCATTCCCAGCACCCTTGTGGTAGCTAACACTCATCCTTAACTTCAGTACCAGGAGATCCGATGCCCTCTTCTGTCCTCTGCAGGCATTTTATGCTCATGGTGCACTTACATATATGTAGGCAAAACATTCATATACATAAAATAAAATAAAATAAAATTTTAAAGACTAAACCCCTGAGGCTCTTAGCACATTATTAGATTAACAAAATTGTTTTGTAACTGTGACCAAGAATCAGTGACCCAGTTGCTACCCCATCAGGGAACTGTTTCTACTTTAGGTAGATCCCAAGCAGGAAATTATCATCACTTAGGAATCTTAGTTCTGGACACTTTATATCCTACAGGATTCTGTTTGCTAATATCTTCCCAGGATGGCTAGAATACCTCACAAAATCCAAAGTACTCAAAAATCTGAAATATTTTGAGCACTGACACGGCAAACCAAGTATGACAAATGTTGCTCAATATTAAAAATATTGTACAGAATTATCTTTAGGCTGTGAGTATTCAGTGTATATGAAACATATGTGAGTTTCATGCCTAGACTTGAGTCTGATCCTCAATTTTATCATGCACACACAAATATTCCATCCACCACCCAAAGAACTCTAAAATCTGAAACACTTCTGCATGCTCCCCTTGTATTACTGCTCTCATCAATACATACTACTCCCTCAAATTTCTTGAAGCTCCCCCCTCAATTTACCTAATGCCAAATCCGTCTTCAAATCTGTGTCTTCTAATCTCTTGTGCCCTCTCTTTATCCTACCTTTGCTTCTAGTGAAGCATTCTTGCAGAGAGGCACTAGCATAGGAATCAGAAGCTCTGGGTACTTGGACTTGGTTCCCTAGCATTAATTCAAGAAATTCTGGACCCAGAAATGCTAAAACAGCAAAAGTGTGGTGTGCTTGTTATCCCAGTACTCAGGAAGCAGAAGAAGGCGGATCATAAGTTCAGTGCCAACCCAGGCTACATAGCAAGACCCTGTCTCAAAAGAACAACAATGAAAATGGCCACTAGCACAGCTGCAGTAGGCCCGCTCCTCTAAGCTCATTACCTGAGAGACCAGTAAGAAAAACTTCCAAGAATGCCATAGCCTGGTTTTACAAGGAAATTAAAGAATTTGGTTTGGCCAAAACAGATGTCTAGAATTCCCCTGTTTCAATGCTAAGGATTTGGGCAGTTTAGAATGTCTCAGACTGTACAGAAATGTGAAGACTCTCAAACATGGGCTTTTACAGGAAATCCTTTCCTAAAATCACATCTGACTCAAGGTTGGTCCCTCTCCATGTATCTTTTTCTGGTGTCTTCTAATCCCCTCTGCAGGAACCACCTCCAGCAGCAATACAGTAGTTGCCGGCCAGGACAGCTTCCCAGACCCCGAGGAGAACAAGATACTGAAAGAATCAGATGACAGGTCAGTGAACACATTTGGCTTAATATCCACTGTTACATTCAGCAGTAGTCTGTGCAGAGACATTCATACAAGTTTGTATGGTTCCTAAAACACATACTGAAATACTTCTCTATGTTTAGAAACAGACTGACTTCACAACTCTGCCCTGTATTTGCCTAAAGATAAAAACTTTTTTCCTATACAAAGTTGGAGAATAAGAAAACAAATAGGGATGCTCTTCTTGTGACTGAATCCTCCTTACCCTTAGGCTTTGTAAAAAACAAAAAACCAAAAAACCACTAGTTATGGAACTGGAGAAATGGCTCAGTGATTAAAAGCACTGGCTGTTCTTGCAAAGGACCCAAGTTAATTCCCAGCACCCACATGGCAGCTAACAGCCATCCATAATTTTAGTTCCAGGGTATGTGATGCCCTCTTCTGGCCTCCACAGGCATTGAACTCATGTGCTACACTTACGTATATGCAGGAAAAACACTCATACACATAAAACAGAGGCTGGGAGTCTAAATAGCACAGTGCAGGCTTTGGCACAGGCCTGCATTAGTTGCATCACATAATAGCAAGAACATATATGCATATTTATTTTTGTTCTCTCCTCCCCCCCAGCTCTGTCTCTGTGTGTCTCTCTCTCTTACTCCTCCTTCCTCCTCCTTCTCCCCCCTTCCTTCTCCTCCTCCTCTTTTTGAACAGTGTCTCTCACAGCCTTGAAACTTGCTATATAGTCCAGGTTGGCCACTATCTCACAGAGATCCACCTGCCTCTGCCTCTGAGTGCTGGGATTAAAGGTGTATGCCACCACACCCAGCATTTCTCTTATAAAGCCACCAGAATCACAGAGTTCCATCCTAATTGCCTAACCTAATCTAGTTAATTCTAAGGACCTTACTTCCTTTTTTCCCATGCACATAAAATTATATTTCTAGGCTCAAGTGTCCCAGGGTAGAGGGAACAGTGATATACATTAAGTGACACACAGATGAACAATATACTTAAGAGGTCTTATGGAAGATACACAGTAGCATCCTGCTACAACTGTTCTTTCTAAGGGCCTAACACCATAGTGAGATGAAGGTTCTTCCCTCTTAATACCATTAACATAAGACATAAGAATTAAATTCCTACCTGAGTTCAGAAAGACATCCATATTCAAACCATATCAATCTTTATTCTTATTTTTTAAATATTTTTTTATTTTATGTGTATGAGTGTATTGACTGTAGGTATATAAGTGCACCCATGTTGTGTAGTACCTGAAGAGGTCAGAAGAAGGTGTCAGATCCTCTGGAACTGGAGTCACAGATAGTTGTTAGCTGCCATGCAGGTGCTGGGAACTGACCTGGGTCTTCTGCCAGAGCAACTCGTGCTCTAACCACTGAGCCATCTCTCCAGCCCCCTTCATTCATATATTGCTTTATCACATCTTTTGTTTGTTTGTTTTTTGGTTTTTGTTTTTTTGTTTGTTTATTTGTTTTTGGTCTTTTTGAGACAGGGTCTCCCTGAAGCCCCAGCTGCCCTGGAACTCACTATGTAGACCAGGTGGTCCTTGAACTCACAGAGATCTGCCTGCCTCTGCCTCCCTAATGGTGGGATTAAAGGCGTGTACCACCATGCCTGGCCTGCTTTATCACATCTTAATCAAGAACACTGTCTTCCTACTTGACCAAGAATCCATCCCATTCTGCCACATTAGCTCTACGAGGGTATCTCTCTCACCCACATACTTATCTTCTCACTGCTTGTGAACTTCTCGTAAGTAAATAAAATCCGGATCACATTTTCCTGTAAATGATTATGAAGAATGGGGAGAGATAAACAGGACTCAGATTTTTTTAAACCTGAATAATCTTCATGGTACTGAAAACACTTTATCTGAGCATTTCCCAGAGAAAATGAGCAAGAGATCCCTCTCACTTGAAAATTAATGAGGATTAAACACTCACAAATTAATATTGGAGAAGACTGAATACTGAAAATATTCCCTCAGCCCAAACCATCCCAGGATGCTTCCTCACTGACCATGAGACTTAACCATATGCTCTGGAATGCTACAGAGGTGAATCAGATTAGCTGACATAACACTGTCTCTGGAGTTCTGAGGGGCCCATATTCAATCCAGGCAAGTATAATCCCTCTCTTGTGATACTGGTCATGATATTGCCTTTGGGTAGATGCTTATTCATATGGGCTTTCCTTTAGCTTACATCTGAGCCCAGCAGGTCCGAAAACACGGACCTCAGCTTGCATAGTTCTAAAGGACTGCCATGCTTTCTTAGACATGAATAAACACTTTCCTATTCCATACATCAGTGGCAGTATAAGATTATTAATTAGCATGTTGCATTTACTCTTCTTGTTTAGAGCTTTTGTTTTTGTAGCTGAGGCTGACTTTGAGCTCCTGATCCTCCTGCCTCCACCCCTCAAGTGCTGGGACTTCAGGCATGTACCACCGTCCCAGCTTAGTATTTTGGGTCATTCATCTATATATGATAGTATCTTCTTTATCGCTTTGCAGAAGTCTCATTGTTTCTCTAAAGATATTGATATCAATCTGGCTACCATGTAAAATTATTAATCATTTATTATATAGACTGAGTTTCCCATCTTAATTTTATCTAAGAAAACTGATCTAATTTTATATATACATATATATACAAACAACTCATTACAAAGATATATATTATACATACAAGATATAATATATTAGCATCTCATTGCAAAGTCCACTTTAATATCATTAGCATTCTGAGTATCCTGCCCAAGTTTTTCATGGTAACCTTTAAAATTAAGAAGCCATTTATCTATATAAGATTAGGATCAAAGAGCATTTTTAGAGAGGTTGTCTGGTTAAGGAGCCTCTTTGGAAGGTAATAGGTTGGTGACTTTTCTAATTTCCAAGATACCAGTCTGGTTTAGACTGTTTTGTGTCCTGATTTGTATGAAATTTGCATGTCTCAAATATTCTGTTATGTGGATTCAAAAAGTAATGACTTGGGGGCTGGAGAGATGGCTCAGCGGTTGAGAGCACTGACTGCTCTTGCAGAGGACCCGGGTTTGATTCCCAGCACCCACATGGCAGCTATGAACCATCCTTAACTCCAGTTCCAGGGGAACCTGAAGCCCTCTTCTGACCTCCACGGCATTGCACAACACAGGTCCACTCACATACATGTAGGCAATATATTCATACACATAAAATAAAAATAATAATAATAAATAAAATAAAAAAGAAAGTAATGGCTCAAAAGAAAGGACAGTGGAAAATATGTGAAATTACTGAGGAATAGAAATGACAACAGCAGGCTAAGAAGAAAAAAGACCTTTGCAAATATCTAAGAAGTGGATAAATCTAGTCACTGAGCCAGAGCTCAGTGGCATATGTCCAGTTCATTTTCACAAAACTACTCTTTCTCACATCCTTGTAAGGACAGAAGCATCCTACATCATCCTGTGTTCCAGCAGGAAATAAAGGGTTGGTCTTTTGTCACCTAGCACAGAACACACAGTCAGTAATATAGAGGGATATGTCTATATGAGTTTGAGCTTTCTGGTGTTTGTAGACAACCTTAGCTCTCTGCTTTGGTTATGCATATATGAAGTGGATTGAAATATCTGTGTATATTTTGCATGAAACAAAAAGGATATGCCTCAGTGGTAGAGTACTTTCCCAACACATATGTAGTAATTTAATTTCACTTAAACATACCATATTTCCTCTGAGCCACACCCTTGCAAGGTCTAACTCCTGGAGTCATTTAAACCAAGAGCAAGCCCAATCTATTCCCAGAGCTGTTCCTTTCTTATTTCTCTTAGAGAAGCCCCTCCAGCAAAGGGCACACTCTATTTATTAAGTTAAACAATACATCCAGCCTGACATGGGAAAGAAATGAGGAACTTTGTCTTATCAGGGAAAATTTTTCCTTTTCTGACCCCTGCTGACCCAGAACAGCATACAAAACCACAAACAAATGTCATCCACCATAGTATACATGTTATTTGCAACATATATTATGGGTGATTTCATTGCTCCCAATATTGCTACTTTCTTTCAACAATGTTACCTTCACCACACACACACACACACACACACACACACACACACATGCACGCAAACATGTGCATGTGCATTATTCTGGGACAGGGTCATGAAGGGTCATGAGGGAGAAGAAGGGAACATAGTTCAAGATTAAAACTATGTGTTTAGCTCAGCTTCTAAAAGTTGATTACAAGAGGAACTCAAGGCCTGATAAGATTGTTTGAACTGTAGCAGTCCCATTGGTTAGGTAGTTTTAAACAAGCTGATGATACAGTAGGAAAGGCAGAATGAAGAGATAGTGTTAAATGAATTCAAAACATAAGATTAACTTTGGTTACAAGGTTAGGTAAGACAGGAGGCGTTCCTAGAAAAGTCATTCCCATACCCTATCTTACAGGTATTGGAATGGTAAACATGGTATTGATACAAAGATAATGCATTCTGGAGATCCAAGTCAAGGCATAATAGCCCTTATGGCACCAGTTTTAGGAAAAACACATTTTTCTTTTCAGTCCTTAAAATATCCCCAATAAAATAAAGTATTTTCAACTATTCTTTTTGTCACTTGTGGAAACAGAGCTCCTAAGCTAAGCATCTTTTAAAAAATATTTTATTTTTGTTTTTATGTGTATGAGTGTATTGCCTGCATGTAAGAAAGTGCACCCGTGTCATGCAATGCCTGTGGAGGTCAGAAGAGGGCATCAGATGCCCTAGAACTGGAGTTATGGACAATTGTTAGCCACCACATGGGTGCTGGGAACTGAACAGAGGCCTTCTGCACACACATAAATAAATGAATAAATAAATATGAAAACAATTTTTATGTGAGTGTATTTCTTTCATGTATGTAGGTACACCCATGCTGTGCAGTGTCCATGGAGATCAGAAGATGGATTTATAGACAATTGTTAGCCCCCATGCTAAATGTCTTGATCACTCACAGGCACAGAACTAGTCATTAAGAGGTTGATCATCTTGACACATAATTATATAAAATACCAGTGTGATGCTCCAATGTACATACACAATGTGTAATGATCAGGTCAGAATAATTGGCATATCTGTCACCTTAGAAACAAGCTCAGTCTTAAATCATGTTTCTGCCCACTTGGAGGTAACATGGCACAGAAAGTGTCTCTGCACTGCCACCTCCCTAGAGTTGACACAGGGCAAGTTGTTTAACTTCATTCAAATTCAGTTTCTCCATTTACAAAGTAAATAATACTTATCTCAAAAACTGAGTGAGCCAAATTAAATGAGATGGTATAAGTGAAGTTACTATTTTTAAAAAGCTTCTTTTAATTCAACAAGCAGCAAAAAGACAGACAAAAGTGGGTGTAATGGTGTATGACTTTAGTCCCAGCACTACAGAGGCAGAGGCAGGCAATTTCTGTGAGTTCAAGGCCAGCCTGGTCTACATAGCAAGTTTCAGGACAGCCAGGGCTGCATAGTGAGACCCTGCATCAAAAGAGACAGACAGACAGACAAAAAAGTCCTTCCAAATATGACTATGTTACGCCCCAACTAGTAACTTTTCCTAAAATTTCTGAGTATTTTTAGGGAAACTTTAATTTAGCCATAGCCCCAGATTTACTATGAAACTGCTGTGTACATTTCTACGTCTACCCATCTTCACTTGTTCAGTCATTCAGCAGGTGTTTGCTGACCAGTAACCATGTGCTGTGCTCTGTGAATGTGAGAGCCATATCAGTCAATGTCAAGCACAACTTTCCAAATGTAGTTCATACGATGTTAGCCTGAGCATATAGCTATCAAGGTTTAGACTGTTATTTAGGAGCTAGCGGGACCACTGGCTCTCTGAGCTGAAAAAGAAATGCTTGGGAAATAATGGTTACAATAAGAAGAAAATACAAGGGGCTAGAGGAATGGCTCAGTGGATAAGAGCACTGACTGTTCTTGGAGAAGACCCAGGTTCAGTTCCCAGCACCTACACGGCAGCTAACAACCATCTGTGACTCTAGATCCAGGGGATCCAATGTCCTCATCTGGCTTCTATGAGTATTGCATGCACATGGTGCACTTACATACATGCAGGCAAAACATTCATAAACACATAAAAATATCCCAAAAAAATCTAGAACCAAGTACCAAAAAGAAAAAAGTCAATCACTAAACTATAGTATCTGCTTATAAGCACATGTGTGCACGCCACCACTTCATGACTCTCTTTTGTATTTGAAGGTTTAGTAATGTTATCCGAGCCCACACTCGCCTTGAATCAAGATACAGCAATAGTTCTGGAGGATCATATGATGAGGATAAAAGTAAGTACTAGTGGGCTGTGGGGTTTCAGATAGAAAGAACCTATCTAGTCCTATGTTTTGATATTCTTGGCATTTTCTATGGTGATGCAGAGTTGGAGGACTAGTCCGAAATTCTCTCATTGAAAAAAGTGTTGCAGTTGCTATTGTTAACTTGGGAATAGATGTAACCTTTAAGCTTCGTGATTCTGCAGGCCCAGGATGGAATGTGATTTCACATTGGAGCTCTCTACAGCATGGTGGTCTGAGTAACCAAGATGCCCTTGCTAAGCTGAGAGATAGCTTTACACAGGAATTTCTTTATTCCATGGGCAGTTGGATAAACCAGAAAGATCGGTGTACTCATCAATTTTGTTTGGGATCTGGACAGCTTCTGTAGATACAGAATCAGTATAAATATTAGTTGGTCTGGGTGGTGGAAAGTCTGGAACCAAAGAACATTATACTGACTGTTCATGGGCTGGAGGAAATCCTCTTGTAGAATTATTATTTCTCTATTTTTATGAAATTTGTAAGTATGATGATAACCATAAGTTAATTCATTCTATAAGTCATCGTTTAGGGCCTTTTTAGTTGATTTATTTTAATTATTTTGTTTTTGTGGGAAATATTCAGAGTCTGGTCAGAGCTAACTATTTTTCTAATTCCTAATGCATAAACAGGCAGTTCTATGCCATTAAAAATAAGAATAGAAGGAATATCAAGAATCTATCTGCAATTGTATATATAATTGTCAGGTTAAGTTTCCTGTTCATCCCTATGGAACAATTTGGCTCAAACTGTCAACTGGAGGAAAAATAAATCTCCTTGTATTTTCTCTCCATCTGTGCCTTGTCAGGAGACTGTACCTTCCAAGTTATGAACAAGTGAATCTGGCATTATAGCTCCTGAGTGCTAGGTAGGACCTGATTTAGTAGATAAATGATGTCACATTTGGGAAATACAAAGTTGTTGGTTCAAGAGAAGTTTGGTTACTGTGGCAATATTCAGTAATCGAAAAGTTAAAGACATAAAAATTGAATCTTGAAGAGGTTATACAGTCTACTAATGACTCCCTGAGAAAGTGACAGGCATGTGTAGCAACACCCACCCTCTGTGGACTTGGAAAAGAACACTGTGACAAATAGCAGTCACTTTGCAGTATATGTTTAGAGCCCTAGTAATAAATCTGCAAATGTCATACATGTATCAAAAATAGAGAACTTTTAAAAAGTATAGTGAAGTGAGATCATAATTATGTCTACACACCACACACACACACACACACACACACACACACACATTAATGGTGTTAGGGGCAAAAAGAAAAAGTAATAGAAATGTTCGCAGAGAAAAGACACTATTATGAATTCAGATAAGATATTAAAAATAAATCTAATATCATATGGCTTCTGTTTAACCAGACACATTGATAACTTAAATGCACTATAATAATATTTTTACTTGGAAAAGTTGAGTGCAGAATTTGAATTTGAAGGTTTGTATGTTGAAATATCTATTCCATGATTACTATTATTAACCAGATTCATTGTATGAAAAAGCACTGAGAACTTACATTTTAACTTATTCTAAGAAAAAATGGCCAGGTGTTATGGTACACACCTTTAATCGCAGCACTTGGGAGGCAGAGGCAGGCCGATCTCTGTGAGTTCAAGGCCAGTCTGGTCTACATAGTGAGTTCCAGACCAGTTGGGGCTGCAGGGAGACCCTGTCTCAAAAAGACCAAAAAAATAAAAAGAAAAAATGAAACAAAGCAATGAAAACAATATCTACTGAGACCTATTAAGATCCTTTCCCCAGGTGGTCAAGGAATAGTACTTTACTTTGGTTGTCTTGGTGGAAGCAGTGTGTCTAATAGGATGCAACTACTTCCAGGATTTAGACAACTAGGGCTTCCTTAATGTATTTTTTGGTTCCAATAACATAATTATGGACATAGAATACACTACAAAACAGGTAAAGTTTAGTGAATTCAATCCTAAACCCTCTGGCCAAGTGTCTGGTACAGGCTAAGGGTTAGTTATTTCCTCCTTGAATTCTTGAGGGGATCAGTAAAGGGTAGAAGGCTCAAGAAGGGGTCAGGAGAGACCCAGGGGCCAAGTGCTTCATAATCTGGCTTTTGCAAAAAGAATAACTGTATGTAACCTCAGAAATGCACTTTAGATTAAAAAAATATACTCCGCTGATTAAAATACATGAGCAAACAGTCCTAGATCTATGAAATAACTTTCTATCAATATTACATAAGCTTTTCTCCAAAGCCATTTAAAATAACTGGATTATTTCCCAAGGCCATATGCTAATATGGCCCCATAATGAGGATATTGCTAGTTAAATTGAATAAGTTACCCTGAATAGTCACTGAAAGCAAGACACTGTAGGCAATATACTAAGTGGTGGTGCTGATAATGAGTTACTAGTTCTCCTGCTTTTAATTTTTTCTAGAATAAATTTTGTTTTTAATCTTATTACTTTTATTTATTTGTATGCATGTGTGTATGGAGGGAAGTGTGGGGCCAGAGAACAGCTTGAAAGTCTGTTCTCTCCTTCTACCACATGGGTTTCAGGGATCAAACTCAGGTCATCAGGCTTGGCAGCAAGTGCCTTTACCTGCTGAGCCATCTCACTCATTCTGATCTAAAATTTCTATTACCAAAACTTCATAGCATAGATTCGTAAAGTTCCAGTTGCTTATTTGTTCCTATGTTAGCAAGGGCCAATAACAATTAAACATAGCGGCACATGCCTATGATCCCAGTACAGGAGAAGCTGAAGCAACAGAAGTATGACTTTGAGACCAGTCTGGGCTACGTAGTATGATCTCACCTCAAAAACAAAAACAAAGGAAAAAAAGAGCCAACGATAACTTCCCGACCATACCCTCTAAAACTCCCTTAGCTCATACTACTGGAGAGGTGGAGCATTTGGGGCTCTAGTCCCTGTCCTTAAAGAGTAGAAAGTATTACTTCCACCAGGTCTCCTAACTGCCAAAGCCAGAGGTGTACATCAGAACTTCTTAAACTTTTTTGACTTATGACCCCTTTCTACCCAAGAAATTTTTATATGACCCCAAGAGAGGTATATAAAATAAATGTATAATGAATCATTGAGAAATTTATTTTAATACAGAAATGTACTTGAAAAGATTTCTTTGCTATGTATATATAATTTTACTATTTATTAAAGATAAAAGCTGATTTACATACTAGTGGGGTGGGGTGG